CGACCAATTATGGTTTGCAAAGGTGCACCGTAATGAATTATGTTACCGAGCGGATTGCTTTAAAGTAAGGGTCCGTCTCTACTGCAAGCAACCGGTTTTGCATAGGTTTGCACGTGCGCAGGCAATGCAACCCAAGTTGCACGCAACTGCTGCAGAGGGCACTTTCGCTGCTGTCAGTCAGGGCAAGCTACGACAGGCGAAGGGATTTTAGGATTCATCGAAGATGCGTGTGACATCTGAGCGGACACCGATGATTGAAAACGTAAGTTTGCTGGACGGGAATTCTGTGCAAGTCAGCGGTGAAACGTGAATGCAGCGTGCACAGTGGGCAGGGCGGTGCATCTGGGTCAGTGCCTGTAAAACAAAAAATAATTACACTTGAGTGGTACTCTCCCACAGGTTGTCAACTTAAGCAGTGCGTGGGGGAATAATTATTATGTTAAGTGTTTAATGCAACCAGCTGCCGTGGGTAAGGGGCAAGTCATACTAGGCTGCCTTTCCTAGATAGGGAAACAGCATGGCTGGCATATGGTTGGATAGTTAGGGCAGGGATGGGGGCCAAGGTCTGATTTGCTCGTTTGGTGTAGTAGGGGTCGGGAGCTAGGAAGCGATCAGCTAGTTTGTTGGGTAAGGCGTAAGACTAGAGTCTGGTCAGCTAGCTTGTTACGATAGGGCTGGGGGGGGGGTCTGGCGGGCTTGTTAGTTACGGTAGAGGTACGGCTATGGTCTGTATCTATGTTGAACTTCTTTTGCACCGTGCACATCGGAGGTGCGATTAGCACGGTTGGTTTCGTGAACAAAAACGGAATCCGAAACCCCTGCCCGCCTTTACCCATCCTGCCACTTCTGGCAGGATGGGTAAAAGGTGCCGGCCCTCTGCCAACAAGCGCTTGCCCACGCCACTGCTGGCGGGAGGGCCTCCACGACAAAAAGAAGTCCCCTCTAACACGTGTATTTGGCCTATTCTTCCACGCTTGCCCGATGTTTTGTAAGATGTGGGATTACCCACGCCAACTCGACGCGGGTGACCTGCCGGTGGGATAACCGCGCCGTCCGTATCCAGAGGCGTGGGTGGGGGTAACCTGTCCGTTATTTCTCAGCTCCCGTGCCGCCCGATCAGATCGAACCGGCGGCCCATTTCGATTCGCAAGTCCAGGGTGTCCTAACCAATATGTAACAGCAGCCCCAAGCCCTGTAAGGCTGGGGGGAGGTATGGACACAAACGAAAAAGGATTAAACGTTTAAAAACAAAAAAAACACGCAAATCGGATTCTGTATACACTCCCAAGGGCTGAGACGATGGAGCAGCTTGTCCGTAGTAGACGGGGTATACCAATGTAGTCATGCGTTTTGTTTATCTGCGCGCATCTATAACCAAAGACGACATTTGGATATGGATGAGCAGTGAAAGGGAACATCGCCTATTATAAAATAAACGACATTCGCCCGTGCGGAAATAAAATTGGCGCAGGGGGGAAAAAAAAAGTCAACGGCAATGCGCCCCCCCCCGCCCCATCTCTCCCCGAAGCTAAGCAAGGCTTGGGCCTGTACAGCGCTTGCATGGATGACCGCCGCGTGTAAAAAAACACAGGTGTTATAGGCTGAAGAAGGCTCCATGTGGTGGGCTGCGCGGAAAAAATACGTCGCTGTGCTGCACCATGACTCTCCAGTCTCAGCTCCGCAACTTCACCACGACCCCGCGCAGCCCTGGTGGAAGCCCCCCCACCCAGCAGTGGATCGACACAATCCCGGGACGTGTGCAAGGCTTTATAATTTTGTTTCCAAATCGGGCGCTACCAATGTCTGCTCTGGCCTAAGAGCGACTGTTGTCCCTTTATCAACGGTTTAATCCACGGCCAGTTCGCACGCACGTACGTACGCACACGCGGGCACACAATAGCCTTTCACAGACTGCAGGGCCAAGTGCTGTTAGTGAGTCGACCTCGGGGAGGCCCAGTGTCCGGTTCAGTTACCGTCACTGGTGTCGGCCGCGAGCGGGAATCGAACTCAAATCGTCGGGCTCGTAGCGCAGCGACGCGAACCGCTACACTATCGTTCCCCACACACGCACGCGCGTGCACACACACACACACAGCGGGCACGGTGCAAAAAGGACGGTCAAGTTTTTAGTTCCAGGTATTAAAAACAAGCCATGGCTCACCAACAAACGCTGCGTCTTCATCGTAACAACCAAGAGCATTAATGCAATTCTCATGCGACGATTGTTATTGTATATGGAGGGGGCTTTAAAATAAGCCAAATGTAAATGCCACTTCTGTATTTGAACTTTCAAAGCTTTTTTTTAACCACTCTTTCAATACCAAGCATCTACACAGTTAAGCCCTCTAGAATGCAGGGATGAAGTATTTTGTTAGCGAGCACCTATTAAGGCCGTGGGTGGCGTCGGAGTTGGTGGTGCTGCTAGCACCACGCCTCGGCCAAATTGATCTCGCCAGTTGTGATGTTTACACACAGCACCGAGTACCCATTTAAGGTTGTGTTGACCTCGGAGAGGCCCAGGATGAGTTCAGATATCACTCGCCAATGACAGTATCCACGGGTCAGTCCGTAGCGCACTGCGCTAAACCGCTGCCTTCACTCACAAATTCCCGCTCGCACAATTTTCACACGTCTCACTCTCGCACGGCCCCAAACACGGTCTCTCTGTCTCGCTCTCGAGACAAAAAAAGATCCTCCCTCCCCCCACCCCCACATCATGCCTCAACAGACGGTGAGTGGGGGGGGGGAGGGCAAGTGACGTTAGCAAGCAGCACCTATGAAGCCCGGCGCGGTATACGTGCGAGCGGGTGGCCAACATCACGCCCGGCCCCCTTTGTCTCCCAAGTGCCGATGTTTACGCACATCACACCAGGAACTCAAATGATTTGAGGCTGAGTCGACCTCGAGGAGGCCCCGAACCTGTGCAGATAATCGCCACTGATGTTGGCCGCGGGCGAGAATCGAACTCGGGTCGCTGTACAATTCCCGCACGTACTTTCTCAGACACCTCGCTCACACGCGCCATTCCCACTCGCGTCACACACACACACACTTCGATCACACCCACGCTCATCTCTGCCCTGTCACGTGCTTGGATAGGTGCTGGGGGGGGTAGGGTGGCCAAGCGAGACGACGACCTCACACCTGCGATGACGGCACCACCGGCCGGCATCTGTGCCATCAAAGGACACCCCCCCCCCCCCCCCCCCCCCCCCCCCCCCGTGTCCAGTTACATGCATAAGTATAACTGAAAGTCTCCAATGTTATATGCACGAAAAGGCAATGTAAATAACAGAGCAAGCTATGCATTTGTTCCGAATGTGGTCTTCGCGAAGGTCCCATGATGGGAATAGCAAAGTTCTGTTGAGTAGATGGATAAACGGGGGCAACCCCGCACCCTGGACTAGCGCACTCGTTCAAGGACACGAGAGGGACGACGGCAAGAGAGTGCGTGTGGCCGTCCCGCGGGGTTGCGTCGCGTGCAGCCGTCTTCCTCCGCGCACCCCGTGTCGTATCGGCACGACGCCCTGACGCGTCGCACAGCGACGACGAGAGGCGACGAGGCGCTCCACCCGTCCCCCCCCCCCACCCCAGCCCCCCAAACAGAACCCAACGCCCGCCCGCTCGCTCGCGTGCACACGAGCGAGCGTGACTAAACAAAACCAAAAGCCTTTGCTCCATTGCACAGCCACAGATATCTCTTGGAAGTAACGAGAAAATAAACACGCGACCCCCCCCCCCCACCACCGCCGCCCATCCCCCCCGCCCACTCCCCCTATCCCCCCAAAAATAAAAATCACCGCCCCAATTCAAATAAAGGAAAGAAAAATCAATAAACAAACGCAGATCCCTGAACCCTCCACAAAGGCTGGGTAAGAGGCCCCCCCCCCCCTCAAGAGACAAGCCATCGTCCCTGTGGCCTCCCGACCGCCAACACTTCATCTACACAGCCACCTGTACCACACACCAGCCCCGCACGCACGCACACGCACAACCTCAACCCCACCCTCTACCCGAGGGCAATTAACATTATACAGCTCCCTCCATGGAGAGAAAGCTCTCCTCTGAGTTCACAAAACAATGGGTAGATTCTTTTTTTTTGAAACTCAAGCAATCTCCTGATCACGAGAGGGCCCAGGCTAAACCTGCACCCAATTTCGTCGGACTTTCGGAAAGCGAAAGCTGTCGTCGAGAGAGTGGCATGGCACAGTGCAGCGAAACCACGCCATTGTACCGCACCACGCTCGCGCGTCTCCACCCCCCGCCCTCGCCGCCGTCGTCGGGCCGACCCGCTCCGGCCGGCGCGATGAAGTTGCGTGCGTGATCACATGACCGCAACGACCCCCGGAGCGACGAAGGCCCCCCCCCCCCCCGCCCCCATCCGGCAGTGGACGACCCGGCGCGAACGGGTGCCGTCGTTCCGGGCAAAGGCGTACGAACCCACCGAGGAGGAAGAGGCGGCGGTGGCGGCGCAGGCACGCGAGGTGGCATCACAGCTTGGGGCCATCTCGCCCGTCCGAATTAGGAATTCCACCTGCATTAGCGACACACACGTCCGTACGCTCGCTAAGTTCGTCCATTAATTAATTCGTTCATTCCTGAGTGCCTCTGCGCCGAGCCGAGAGTCAAATAGCTTTTGGTGCAAATCGCCACAGTCCCCGATTAGTTCTGCAAATCCAGTTTTTTCACACGCGCGCACACACGCGGACAAAAAAAAAAAACACGCAAAAATGGAAATCGCGAAAAACTTAACTTCACCCGAAATATATTTTTTACAACAGATCCGCCAGATTCCCGTTACTTATTCTGAGAGATGAGCGCGGTGAAGGTATAGGCGCAGCCCTGCAATTTCCTCGCTCATGGCCACTGCTGGCGGTATGGCCTCCGCTGGCAGGAGCTCTCAACACCCCCCCCCCCCGTCCGCCCACGCCGGAGGGCATTTTTGGGCCTCCTCTTTTTCACATGCGCCAGACTTCTCGAAAGGTTACCCCACTCCCCCCCCCCCCCCCACAAAACCGTGTGCAACCTGCCCATTGGCCGCACCCATTTTATACTGCTGGGTGGACGGCCGGATGTGAGGTTTAAGAAACTTGCACCATCGCGTCAACTACCACACCGGGAGATCGGACGGAACCGACGGTCCCTGGGGATTGCAAGTCCGCCTGCTGACCGATACGCCACAGCAACATTGTCCCCCTTGTCGGCTGGGTATTGGGCGGATTAAAGGATTTAGGACACTCGAATGGAGTAGCTCTGGATTGCAAGCACAATGTGCTCACCATTACATCGCGGCAGCATCCGGAGAGGGCGAGTGACACATTATTTCGGGGATCGGGGGATAATTTCACAAACGTGGCAGCGCTGTCTACAGGGTCACGAGCTCAGGCAGCGCACATGTGGGAGGACTGAAGGCTGGTTGGGAGATGGAGGGGAGACTGAAGTGGTAGTGGTGGTGTAGAGATACCCGTGCTAGAGGAGCCCTCTAACAATCGGTGTGGATGGGGTGGGGGGCTCAGCCACCCCGGCTAAACTCTTAAGTGTCAAGTGCTGGGAACAAAAATGTTTGTGTGTACAATTAAGCGAAGGGTGTCGCACGCGGAGGAGGAGGGGGGGAGCCGGAGCACAACGCACGCTGGACACGGAGGGCAGACCGCTCTGCGTCGCTCGTTCCGTTCAGTGTTCGACATTCGATTGACATGGAACCGTGTCGTGTCTCGTGCCCCCTCCTGTCCTGCACGTCGCTGACCACTGACCCATTGATCACATCAAACCTTTTCTACAAACGACAAGAAAGTCCACCGAAACTGAACAATGCCTGCAAACTGGAAACAAAACAGAAATAACGAGATACCAAGGTGAGCTGCTAGCAAACGGCAGGAAGCCACCACACCTCCCATCATCTAATCATCAATACGGCCATACGTTCAGCTCTGCTGAGCTGGTGGTCGGGTCAAGGACGAGAGCATTCTATACGCACAACTTTGTGGTTACATGACACGCACGCGAGGCATGCCCGGGAGTCGTTTCTTCCTGCTGTTTGTGAGCGGCGCACCTATGGGGCGTTGTTCACACCCACCAACTCTTGAGATTTGTCACAAATGCGAAATTGTAAATTAGGAAACAGATTGAAGGTCGGATGAAACAAAATTATTTGCGCCCCTCCACTGTGTACGCCGATGGCCTCGATGGTGTCGTACACACAAAACAAAATCTAACGCATAACGCGTGAAACAGCACTGCCGCAAGTCGAACAAAAATAATGTTTTGACAAAAGTGTCGCGATGCTTTTCGTCTTGCTATTGGCGCTTGTGCGCAGCAGTGCACGCGGAACTGTTGCATAAACGGCGCGGTTACACCGCCGTTGGGTGCAGCCACCGCGCGTGGTTTGTCAACGCTAAAGGGGACGCGAGCGAGCGGCAGAGGGAGAGAGGGGAAAACAAAAACAAACGGCTCGGACGCCGGAGCAAGGCAAGTCCTCGCTTAACGCGTGGTGCTCGTTCACACGATAACGCGTTCTCGCAATGACGCGGTTCTTTCATTTTGGGAACACTTTTCTCACAACTCTCCCGTCATAACACGGAGTTGCGCACCGTGTTGTAACGTGGACCGCACGCGCCGTTATAACGCGGAACGCGCGTCCGTTATAACAAGGGACGCACACCGTCGTTTTAACGTGGTTTCCGAGCGGTCGACGGCAAACTACTCTCTTGAACTGCGCGGCTCAGCGGTACGATACGGTACGCGGAATGATACAGTAACGCGGCAGCGTACCCTCAGATCTTTGTATCGCCAACTCGCCGTGTGGTGTGCGTAGCTGATCAGATACCCGCCAAACTTTATCGTTACAACATTTATGGGTGAAATCGTTTTCACTTTTATCTGTTTGTCGGTGAACGCATCCACTACCGCGTTAAGCGATGAATTACTCTCGTTACGCGGAGAGGCAGCGCGCCTACTGGGGTTGTTCTGGCTACCAAGTGGACTTTCGTAATTTAGAACCAAGTCCTGTATTACACACTCAGGACAACCAAGCAGCCTCTCGTGAGATCGACCGAGCTCACGGAACTCTTGTTGCGACGCCCGGGTCAACGCGACGCAACGCTCGGCGCGTTCGAAAAGCAGTCGGCTCGCAAATCGTAACCCCCGAGGGAGGCTGCCGTGGGCGTTCACGGTTGTGCTGTATCGCGCGGCACCGCGAGTTGCTGTTGTTGTTGTCGCTGTACCGCGCGTTGTCGTCGCTAGGATTTGATAGCCGTTCAACAAACACCGCCGTGTTGCATCTAGCCGCCGGACGGGGTCACGTCGAGCAGTTGGAAAACAACACACGCACGCACGCACGCACTGCGTGTACGCCCCTGCTTCTTGCGCAAGAGCGACAAATCGTTGAGGCGCCGACCGCGCGGACGCGTCACCCACGAGACGTTTGTTTTGCAGGTGGCGGTCCCTCTGACCGCGCGCGGTGCCGTGTGCGGCAGATCAACACGACCCTGGCCGAAGGAAACCACCTTTCTCGGTCGCTCTCAAGAGGAGGAATAACAACAAGATGAAGCGTTTTCTCGCCAACACTGCAGAGGGGAAACAGCACAGCAGGGGGACGTTTCGGGCACTGACCCCCCGCCCCCGTAGCGTAGAGGTCAAAGAGCATTGGCCAAATAGGTCACCGGTATTTTTCCCTCATAGTGCCGCGGCGTTATTGACGAGCGAGTCGAGCTTTCGTTCGTCGTTGCTCGTTCTCTGTGCACCACTGCCAACCGTTCTGTCTAAGAAGAGAAGCTGGTGGCACCTGCAGACCAACGGAGCCTGCGGTGGCTCTATCCGGCACCAGTAGGGCCCCATAGGGAAAGGGGATGCACGGGCAGGCGGGCAGGCGGGCAGGCGGGCGGGCGGGCAGGCGGGCAGGCAGGCGGGCGGGTGGGTATGACGGCAGGAGGGGCGCAGCAGAATTTTTATTTTACGAAGGACCCGGGGGGAGGGGGGGGGGGAGGTGGCGTGTGGGTGAGCGACGGTGTTAAGATCCCAACGACAAATTCCACCTTCGACGATTTCCACCCTGCGCTCGATTTCACTCGACCGCCTCCTCCGTGCCTTGCTCGACGATCATGAAGGCCGGCGCGGGAAGGTGCTGCCGCACCAGCAGCTGCTGGGAACCGCCGGCGTTGCCGCCAACGCCGGCGGCGGTCGCCGTCGGAGGGAGCTGGGCGGCGGCCGAAGATGCGACGGCATCGGCGTCGCCGCGGAGGCGCGCCGACACGTGCGCCGTGCCCAGGTTGTAGACGCCGGGGCGCGTGAACGCGGCGGCGAGACGGAGGCGGTGCGTGGAGAGGGCGCCCAGGGACAGGCGGCGCTGCGTGGGGCCGCACCAGCTGAAGCCGGATTGCACGTCCGGTCGTGCGGAGCCGTCGGGCCTGCGGCGGGGGAGGCGGGGCGGATTGGGCCACTGGGCTATGACGCACGTGTGGCTGGCTGCAAATGATGATAATAAAACCCAAAAAAAATAAAAACGCTAAATCCCACGAAGACAAACCTGTGAACGCACCCATAAATACCGTGGCAAACCTATGAACGCACCCATAAATACCGAAATCCAATAATAACAATAAAAAAAACCACTGCATTCCGGATGATTCGTCATAGGAATTTGAAACTCGTCTTCATTTTTTCAACCGTAGTTTGGATCGGATGGCATGCCCTGGGCCAGTGGTTACCACCCCAGCAGTCGTCCTCAACCTCTGACCTCTGGCAGGGGTGACCCTGCAAAGATAAGCATGTGGGTAGAGGGGGGCCTGAGGCCGGGGGGTTGGAGGGGGAGGGGTGAAGAGGGGTTGGGCGGGAAGGGGGTTGGGGGGGGGGGGATTGAAGGTGGACTCACGCAATGGACGAGCGACCCCTGCAGTCGACCGCCACCTCCACGCTGGCCGGGCAGCAGTTGTAGAGGAGGAGGTTGATGGGCAGCACACAGAGCCTGCGGGAACAGAAGCACCGAATGACGTTGATGTACCGATAGGCGTCCGTTAATAGCACGAACACTGCACGATGCCTATTTGCGTCACCGCTTTACTTTATTGTATTTGTTTTGTGTCATATTGGCGACTCGGGTCACTCTCGCAAGGAAGATTCATCCTGGTCTCCCGAGTAATTCATTACCGGGCTTTATCAAAACATCATCATAAATTCTACTAGCGACGATAAAAAAATGTTCGTCCATAGTTCCGCTTGCAACTCAGGAAACCAAAGCAGCGCGAGGGCAGGCTGAGGCTTCTGCGTGAACTTCCTGCGAAATTCGGAGACTCCCCAAGCAAGGAGGATGGTTACCACGACGACGGCGCTCGCAGCTTGATTTCACACCAACAGGTGGTGGCGGAGGTCTCTCCCCCTCCCCGACGTGGAAACCACTCGCTGGCCTCGATGCAATCATTTACCACTCCGCACACGCAGGTGCTGGAATCGAACTAAGGTCGGCGGGTTTGGAGTGCAGCGTGCAAACCGCTACCGCCTGACCTCCTCCCCCCCACCCCTTCCCCACAGAAAACACCGGCAAACTCACACACTCACTCAACACACTCACACACACACACAATCACATTCACTCTCACACACACACACATGCACGCAGAATCATTAAAAAGACAAAGATCCCCCATATAGTCTTAAAAACAATTAAGGGCAAGTACTGTTAGGGAGTACCTATTAAGGCCGGCACGGCACACGACGGGGCGAGTGGCCAACACCACGTCCGGTCGCCTTTATCTCTAAAGTGGTGATGTTCACACACCACACCAGATAATCATTTGAGGTTGAGTCGACCTAGGGGAGGCCTAGGACCGGTTGAGATATTCGTCACTGGATGAGCGGGAATTGAACTCGGGTCACCTGGTTCGTAGCACTGCGTGCAAACTCTACACTACCGCACCCCACAGTAACACACACTCACACACTCGTTTACACTTCAGCAATTTGTTGGAATAAGTTATGTTCAATTAAGGATAATAACTCCTTGGGATATCAATAGACAGGATAAAAACGCATAAACGTCCTTCCAAAAAAAAAAAATCCAAACTCACCGGTCAGAATGAAGAAAAACGTGATACCTTTATCTACGCATCAGGTGAGCGACCACTTCCTCAACGAGGGCAGAACAGGGATACGAAATACCGTTGACGGGCCAGCATGCACCACCGGGCACGCCAGTCACTTGTCACAGCACAGTAGTCCCCCTGGGCAGTTACTAAAACTGAGACGCCACAGCGGCGTTGTGTTGCGAGGTCAAAAAGCATTCCCCTGCATCGCCCGATTCTCCCCGGGTGGTCGTCGAGACGAGGCGCAAACCTCAAGCCAAATAAATTGCCCTTACATGTGCCTGATGGATCTCATCGCATCGGACCTCGTAAAGCCAAGCAGGTGGAGAGTGGTTCGTGCTTGGATGGGTGAACCAGGTGTTGTCGGTGTGAGGCTGCAAGACCGGGACTTTATTCATTTCGGACTGTGTTGGCGACCCAGAAAAAACAATTTCCACATCCGGCACACCACGTCCAGTATAGCCCCATCACCAGACCCGGCGCCCTGGCGCCGGTCCTAGCGCGCCTCGCTGTTGCCCGTGGCTACCGCTGGTCACGCGCCACCTGACTGCAATCTACCTGCGACCCGGCAAACACCGAGTGTCATCTCGTCACCGTGGGGGTGTCGCGGTGGCGAGATGTTAACGACCTCGCCTGGGATGCAGGAGGGAGGTCGTCGTGGGTTCGATCCCGACCCTGACGCCTGCTGTAAATTTGGAGTTTGCATGTCCCTCTGTCCCCGTGGTTGCGTGGATTTTCTCTGGTTCCCCGGTTCTCCCCCCCGCACATTAAGAATCAACGTGCATTTAGAGTATTCGGAAGGGGAGGGCGCGGGTTCAGATATCACTCGCCACCGATTTTTTGGTCGTGGCCACGCAATCGAACTCAGATCGCCGAGTTCATAGCCTAATGCGCTCATAATGATCACAGTAACGATTGATAAGTGGTATTGGTGCAATCTTCTTCCTCTTCTTCTTCTTATTCTGTACGGCTGATGTAGATGCAGAGCAATTACGACAATTTCACATTCGGGTGGTCAAGCCAGACAACCGCATCAGGAGCAGCAGAGTGTATCACTGTGATGTCCCCTTTGTATCCGTGCATCGGGCATTGCGTCATTATATGTTGTGCGGTCTCTGATTTGGATGACCACAGTTCAGCGCACGGGCCCACAAGGGCTTGGTGGTGTGACTTCCAAGCAATGACGAGGGACGTTATTGAGGTCCCGGTGAATTGGAAGGCGACTGTTTTTCCGATTTGCAGGACTTCCCGTAGGGTTGCAGCGTTGCGGCGGATGGGACGGGGTAATATTTGCAACGCCAAGGGCAGCCAGGGTGTTGGGGGTCTTCTCATGCAAGCCAATCATCGTGAAGGAAGGAGTTGCGCTATGCTTCACAGGCGCAGTCTGCAAAACAGTTTGACGGCCGGGGTTGATGTTCCTGCGTCTAATCTCAAATTGAGTCATTTGCAAATTATTTTTGAATTTGGAAAATTTGGTTTCCGAGACGCCGTCGCAACACCAGCGTGCTCTTTCAGAAAGACATCGCGGGTTCTTTGACATACGCTGTGAGGCAGGCACGGTGGCTAGGAGATGTTAACTGCCTCGCCTGGTATACAGGAGGTCGTGGGTTTGATCCTGACCCTCACGCCTGTATATATGGCGCTTGCACGTCTCTCTTCCCGTTGTTGCGTGGATTTTCTCCAGATCCTCTGTTTTTTCCCTCCACACGTAGAAACATGCATTTAGAGTATTTAGCGGCGATAAATTTGCACGTGACGATAAGCCACTTTGTTGAGCTATAATTTGTGGCCAGGTCGCTTCTCAAAAAGAATTATATAGCTCAGTGGGCCTTACTTAGTACAATAAAAAAAATTGTTTAGTGTTCTATGGTAAAAAAATATTATCAATATGCAATGCGTATTCACCAGGGCGACCTGCTGGTTCGAACCGCGAACCACTGCAACGAAAGATGAAAGCGCTACCGCTGGGTCCGTGTCACTGCACCACCGTGCCACTGTTGCTCACTGAAAGCTGCACATATACACAAGGGATACCATAAACTTGGATAATGTCGCCGAAGAAAGTAGATGAGCTCAGAGGTGAGATTCATCAACTTACCTTCTCTTTAACGCAAAACCTATAACCCCAAGCTCTACCGAAGCTCAACACCCCCAGCATAACTTCCAAGAACGAGGTTGTTACCGCAGGCTTTTACGTTCGCGGATAACAGAGGACGTTAAGGCAACATCTATTGTTAAGCTCCCATGTCCAACGCTCTCCCCCCATCATCAACTTCATCGACAACTCCGGCGGCAAATCGACCAGCGATGGTCAAGCAACCCCCATGATGCCTCACGGCCTGTGGAGGAGGCCGCCGCCGCCGCTTATCGTCCGTCCGTGTGCCCGCCCGCCCGCCCGCTCTCCCGAGTTTTGAAAAACGATATCTCAGACACAATAAGAATCGGGTGCGGAATGACCCTCAAACATACAAGCGCTATCAACGACGGAAAATATCCAATAAAACAATTAAATGGGGGGAAAATTAAATCACGTGTGGAAAACTGAGTTGAACGAAATGCGCAAGGCGGGTGACTAAGCGCGCGCACACAGAGCTCTGAACATAATTCAACGTGACTAATGGTGCACTCTTTCGGAACATGAATACACTTTACCGGCAGAGTGATTTTCGCTGCGGAAAATGACGGGATATTTCGGCTCGGGTGAGCATTTAATTAGCTAAGGGAGTCGGGCTCTGGTCAATGTCCCGGTATAACCCGTGACGTTGACTTATAGCCTTTACTAGACTAACACGTAGGCTTTCGCGAACAATATCATCCGTAAGAGTTGTTTTTTTTTAACAGACTGTTGGGGCAAGTGCTGTTAGCGAGCATCCATGAGAGATCCACGTAGAGATCCACAGAGTTGCTGCCGCCACTGCCAAGATCGTTGGCAGTGGCGGCAGCAACAGGACATCGCAGGGAGGTGGAGGGAACGTGCAAACTATCCGGAGCACACAGGCAATTATTTTCACGAAACCCACGCCAGAACCAAATGCAAAGCAGGATACACAAAAAGAGTGCTGAAAAATAAATCATGAACGGCGGTTTAAAAAGCCTGTCGGGAGTCTCGCCCCTTGCGAGAACGAATGCAAACAGCGAGTGATAAACCGTGCGCGTGAGCGAGCGTGCGTGCGTGTACGTGTGCGTGTACGTGTGCGAGCGTGTGCGCGACACCTTGCTCCAGAAGTTTGCTCGTATCTCTTGGAGCAAAGCGTGCGAGCGCGCGACTGACGGAGCGTGTACACGAGTGCGAGCGAGCGTGCGAGGAACATCACGCGCCGACGGGTGAGAGAACAGCCGTACGATCAAGCGCCTGCAACAATGGGTGACTGCGCACGTCACCGAACGAGTGAGCTTGCTTGGCGGATTGGCGAGTGAGCGAGTCGGCACGTGGCAGCGTGCGAGCGTGTGGCTAAGCGTGCGAGAGAATGTGTGAGCGCGTGTGTGAGCCAGCGAGGTAGCGTGTGTGTGTCTGTGTGAGCGAGTGTGTGGGTGAGTGTGCGAGAGTGAGTGCATGAGTGAGCGAGTGGAGTGCACGTGTGAGCGTAAGTACGCACGCACGTCTGAGCGCACGTGCGAGTGAGCGAGCGAGCGCGTCAGTCTGAGGGCGAGTAAGCAGGTGGGTGAGCAGGCGGGTGAGCAGGCGGGCGTACCGGTTGGCCGTGAAGTTGTGCGTGACCCTCTGCGCGTACTGCAGGCTGCACTTCACCATGCGGCTCAGCGCGTCTGGGTTTGGGCCGGTCGCCGGCGTCACCACCGGCTCCTCCGGCACAAACCTCAGCGGGGGCAGCTCCGTCACCAGCTAGGAGGGGGGGCGGGGGGTTTGGGGGGGGGCAGGGGGGGGGGGGTACAACGACAACCAAAACGTTATTCCTGAACCGCAAATTCCTATTTAAATTATACATGATTTTATCCGTGGGTGCTGTGGGGCGAGGGGTTGTTATCTCCTTCGCCTGGTACACACAGCTCCAGGTACTCATTTGAGGCTCAGCCGACCTAGGGGAGGTCCAGGACCTTGTATAATCATCACTGGTGTTGGCCATGAGCGGGAATCGAACTAGAGTCAATGGGTTTCTGTTAGCGAGTACCTAAATACAGATTCATAACGGCCATTCGCCACTAAGTGGCAGTGACATCACCACGGCGCTTGTGCCAGGCTTCTTGTACTTTAAGCTAGTGGGTGAGATTCACACGCACGCGCACACACACACGCGCAAACACACGCACGCGCACGAACGCACGCACATGCACGCACACGAATGCACACGCACGCACAAAACAAAGACACAGATCCCCTGTATAGCCTTAACAGACTGTTGGGGCAAGTGCTGTCAGCGAGCGAACACACGCAAGCGCCCTTAACCGGCGACGCGCGATTCAATCTAGATTTAAAACTAATTTCTTTAGAACTGCTTTTGTGTTTAGTTTTTTTTTTCCTTCCTCCGCACCTCGGATGAGCACGGTTGGCTACGTACGGTGCGAAAGGTCAACATATGTAACATACACACGAAAGAGGAAAGTTAATTTTACATTCATGCTCGTGCGGCGCATTTGAAACGCCGCTGAGTAACCGGTGCAATTAGCATTCATTTGCACACGTTTGCTATCCGGCACAGCGGGCGACGCTAGTAAAGAGGGGCGTCCTGTGGTGGGATGACATTTCACCGCGTGCCTTACCCGCTGCTGCCTGGCAGTTTAATAAAAAGAGGCAATATGGCTCGCGCGATTTGAAATTCCGCTGCTGCCGGCCTCCCCCACGTCACCTGCACCGTAAACATGATCACACCACCCCGACAACGCCATTGTCTCTGCACTCGTTCACAACGCAGTCCCTCAGTCAACGACAAGATCGCACTCACCCCGTTCAAGATGTGTGTATGTAGATTCTCCGTCAAACTCGCCATTACCTTCCTATCCCTCTCACTCCACTCCCCTCCACCCACTCTGCTGCCTCTCTTCTCATCTCACTCTACTCCTCTCTACACACTCTCCTACCTCTCATCACCCTCTACCCCCCTTCACGCACTCTCTTACCTCTCCCGATCTCATCATTTCGCTCTACTCCCCTCCACGCACTCTCCTTCCTCTTCCCTTCGAAATTCGTTCTGCTCACCTTCCCATTCTCTCCGCGATCCAGAGGTTAGCGGAATCGAACCGCTAAACTCTGGATCGCAAGGCCAGTATGTTAACCGTTACACCACAGCAGCATCCCTGAACAGAGCAATACGTAGAACGAATTTATTATCATTATTATCGTGGAATTAACCCTTTCTGATGACGTATGAGTACGTCATCAGTTATTCTTCCGATTCCGTTCCGATGATGGAATAAATTCCGAACGGAATCCAAAGTGAAAGGCCATGCGGGAGGGGCGTTTGGCAGAGTTTGGCGCCAGCTATAACCGAGTGCGGTTGTGTCGCTACAGTTCTCCACGGTGAGAACAGTACTATGTCTTTAAAAACAGCGGTGCTATGCCTCTCTAAACAAAGTTAATGCAGAGCCACTTGCACGTTCCGTGATTTAACTTGCAGACATCTCAGAGAGGGTTAATAAATCAGTTGAGGGACTGCCCCACGTGGCCAAAGTCATCGGAAGCAAACTGCTGGCGTCAAGACAGTGACAGCACGCGAATGCGCGCACGAGTCTTCTCTCCACAGGGAATCTTACGTGGGGAATCGCAACACGGGGACTCACAGGCGGGAAATCACACGCGGGGAATCACACGCAGGGATTCATACGCGAGTCTTCTCCCTACGACGCACAGCGTAAACAAATAAAATCACCGCGCCGCGTCAAATGCCTAACGAGCCGATGCTCGCTTCAACATATTCCGTCTAATTAAAATCACGTTGCGTGAGCCGGGTCTGCTCTTGTGAAAGAGACAACGTTGTTTCACAACTCTCAGCGGTTAAATAAAGGACTCAACGTTGTTCCACTACTTTCAGTGGTCAAATAAAGAGGCAACTTTGTTCCACGACACTCACCTCTCTCGTGAAATAAACAACGTGCTTATCAGCAGATGCAAACCACATGGATCACCTCCTGAGATGCCCTGCAGCACCACAATGGCAATCACTCAAGATGACGTGGTTATGCCAACCAACCAGCGGAAGCGGTGGCCTGTGCAGAATATTGGGGGAAAAGACTACCGTGCAGGTCGGAAGAAGAAGAAGAAGAAGTGGTTGGTGGTGAAAGGAAGCTCGGGAGATTGGGGAAACAGGGCAGCCGTGCTGCTGGGGTGAACAGGAATAGATTCGGTGACGGGCATGACGAGCCGCACGAGCCACACGCAACTGTGTGGAGCTATCACGAAGGCCCGTAGACGAATCACTGTCAGGGTACGTAGCCGGACGCGTTCTCAGAACGATTGGATTTTTTTTGTTTGTTTGCATAAACAATACGGACGCGAGACGATTGCGCATCGTGTTGTGAACCCCTGTTCGTCCGTTAATATGGGGGGGGGTCCCTTGAGCTACCTGAGCTTCTGATCGACTTGTTTATGCCTGGCACCCCATACAGCCACACAGACTGCTAGGCCAAGCGCTGTTAGCGAGTAGCGCCGATGAAGGCCGGGCACGGCACACGAGAGGGGTTGGTGTGGCCAGCACCACGCTCGGCCGCCTTTGCCTCACTTAGTGCTGACGTTTACACACCGCGCCAGGCGCTCATTTAAGGTTGAGTTAGCCTTAGCGGAGGTCCAGGACCAGTTCAAATATTCGCCACTGTTCTAAATACGCAAGTGGGGTGGCCACGCATGTCTCCTTCAAAGCCCTGAGTTCGTAGTGGAAATTCCACATTCCTATGGAATGACTGCTCTAACCCATTAAGTGGTACTCGTTTTTTTATTGAAGGCCCGAGTCAATCCCACAACCGGGATGTGAACTCAGAAACCCCTGGTTGCAGGCCCGCACGCAGTTTAAGCAGTGCATAGCACAGGGGGCTATCAGCTAAGTACGGGAAACAGATTACCCTACGGGCCGTGCGCTCTCCTGTATCACCAAAAAAGGGTGAGTGACGGAGCTAACAAATAGCATCGGCCAGACTGTATCAAACACCAGCATGCGGTGTGAAACGTCGGACATCATAGCGAACAACGCCTGGCACATCTGAAATTAACAAAGGGGGAGGGGAAAAATCTAATCAGAATATTTATTTGTACTGGAGGAATCCAATGAGCTGTAAAGCTCATTTTCACAGATGTCCAGTAGATATGCAATTCATTAACATCATCGTAAGCCGTGCTCAATCCACCCCTTCCCCCCCATTCCGCCAGTACCCTCTCACGATCCTGTGGTGTAACAATCCGCTCAGCACCCTCTCACGATCCTGCGGTGTAACAATCCGCTCAGTACCCTCTCACGATCCTGTGGTGTAACAATCCGCTCAGTACCCTCTCACGATCCTGCGGTGTAACAATCCGCTCAGTACCCTCTCACGATCCTGCGGTGTAACAATCCGCTCAGTACCCTCTCACGATCCTGCGGTGTAACAATCCGCTCAACACCCTCTCACGATCCTGCGGTGTAACAATCCGCTCAGTACCCTCTCACGATCCTGCGGTGTAACAATCCGCTCAGTACCCTCTCACGATCCTGCGGTGTAACAATCCGCTCAACACCCTCTCACGATCCTGCGGTGTAACAATCCGCTCAGTACCCTCTCACGATCCTGCGGTGTAACAATCTGCTCAGCACCGTCTCACGATCCTGCGGTGTAACAATCCGCTCAGTACCCTCTCACGATCCTGCGGTGTAACAATCCGCTCAGTACACTCTCACGATTCTGCGGTGTAACAATCCGCTCAACACCCTCTCACGATCCTGCGGTGTAACAATCCGCTCAGTACCCTCTCACGATCCTGCGGTGTAACAATCCGCTCAGTACCCTCTCACGATCCTGCGGTGTAACAATCCGCTCAGTACCCTCTCACGATCCTGTGGTGTAACAATCCGCTCAGTACCCTCTCACGATCCTGTGGTGTAACAATCCGGTCAGCACCCTCTCACGATCCTGTGGTGTAACAATCCGCTCAGTACCCTCTCACGATCCTGTGGTGTAACAATCCGGTCAGCACCCTCTCACGATCCTGTGGTGTAACAATCCGGTCAGCACCCTCTCACGATCCTGTGGTGTAACAATCCGGTCAGTACCCTCTCACGATCCTGCGGTGTAACAATCCGCTCAGTACCCTCTCACGATCCTGCGGTGTAACAATCCGCTCAGTACCCTCTCACGATCCTGTGGTGTAACAATCCGCTCAACACCCTCTCACGATCCTGCGGTGTAACAATCCGCTCAGTACCCTCTCACGATCCTGCGGTGTAACAATCCGCTCAACACCCTCTCACGATCCTGCGGTGTAACAATCCGCTCAGCACCGTCTCACGATCCTGCGGTGTAACAATCCGCTCAGTACCCTCTCACGATCTTGCGGTGTAACTATCCGCTCAGCACCGTCTCACGATCCTGCGGTGTAACAATCCGCTCAGCACCGTCTCACGATCCTGCGGTGTAACAATCCGCCCAGCACCGTCTCACGATCCTGCGGTGTAACAATCCGCCCAGCACCATCTCACGATTCTGCGGTGCAACAATCCGCCCAGCACCGTCTCACGATCCTGCGGTGTAACAATCCGCCCAGCACCGTCTCACGATTCTGCGGTGTAACAATCCGCCCAGCACCATCTCACGATCCTGCGGCGTAACAATCCGCCCAGCACTGTCTCACGATCCTGCGGTGTAACAATCCGCCCAGCACCGTCTCACGATCCTGCGGTGTAACAATCCGCTCAGCACCGTCTCACGATCCTGCGGTGTAACAATCCGCTCAGTACCCTCTCACGATCCTGCGGTGTAACTATCCGCTCAGCACCGTCTCACGATCCTGCGGTGTAACAATCCGCCCAGCACTGTCTCACGATCCTGCGGTGTAACAATCCGCCCAGCACCGTCTCACGATCCTGCGGTGTAACAATCCGCCCAGCACCATCTCACGATTCTGCGGTGCAACAATCCGCCCAGCACCGTCTCACGATCCTGCGGTTGTAACAATCCGCCCAGCACCGTCTCACGATTCTGCGGTGTAACAATCCGCCCAGCACCATCTCACGATCCTGCGGCGTAACAATCCGCCCAGCACTGTCTCACGATCCTGCGGTGTAACAATCCGCCCAGCACCGTCTCACGATCCTGCGGTGTAACAATCCGCTCAGTACCCTCTCACGATCCTGCGGTGTAACAATCCGCTCAGTACCCTCTCACGATCCTGCGGTGTAACTATCCGCTCAGCACCGTCTCACGATCCTGCGGTGTAACAATCCGCCCAGCACCGTCTCACGATCCTGCGGTGTAACAATCCGCCCAGCACCGTCTCACGATCCTGCGGTGTAACAATCCGCCCAGCACCATCTCACGATTCTGCGGTGCAACAATCCGCCCAGCACCGTCTCACGATCCTGCGGTGTAATAATCCGCCCAGCACCGTCTCACGATTCTGCGGTGTAACAATCCGCCCAGCACCATCTCACGATCCTGCGGTGTAACAATCCGCCCAGCACCGTCTCACGATCCTGCGGTGTAACAATCCGCCCAGCACCGTCTCACGATCCTGCGGTGTAACAATCCGCTCAGTACCCTCTCACGATCCTGCGGTGTAACAATCCGCTCAGTACCCTCTCACGATCCTGCGGTGTAACTATCCGCTCAGCACCGTCTCACGATCCTGCGGTGTAACAATCCGCCCAGCACCGTCTCACGATCCTGCGGTGTAACAATCCGCTCAGCACCGTCTCACGATCCTGCGGTGTAACAATCCGCTCAGTACCCTCTCACGATCCTGCGGTGTAACTATCCGCTCAGCACCGTCTCACGATCCTGCGGTGTAACAATCCGCCCAGCACCGTCTCACGATCCTGCGGTGTAACAATCCGCTCAGTACCCTCTCACGATCCTGCGGTGTAACAATCCGCCCAGTACCCTCTCACGATCCTGCGGTGTAACAATCCGCCCAGCACCGTCTCACGATCCTGTGGTGTAACAATCCGCCCAGGCACCCGCACGCTAACCGCCTTCTTCGTCGCTCCATCTCTGCGGGGGTGGACGGTGTGCTCAGTCGCACACGATCCGTTTCCTGCTCGTTGGAAATCCGTTCTCATTAAAAACAACAAAACACCCAAACGAGAGGCCCAGGGGCATCAGAACGGCTACCAAGGGAGAGGGGCGGCCCCCATTCGTTCCATCTGGTGGCTCTCACCAGGGGCGATCCGGGAGGTGGACAGAAAAACAGGCGTCAACAAATCGGCCGAGCCGTGGGCAACCGTGAAGGTAGGGGCGGCGTAGAGGCGGGGGGGGCGGAAGCAGGGGGATAAGGGTGATGGTGGGAACCTTGTTGCGTGTAATCTCCCTTCCAGTAATTTGCAATGTCATTTGGTTCCTTTCTGCAGAGAAGCAGCGCCCGCCCGTGCCTACGTACAGTGCCAAATAAGTTCAACATACATACATAAATAAATATAATGAACATCTGTGAAAAGAGCTTCATAGCTCATTGGATTTTTCCAGTCTAAATAGAGATGGTGATGATGATGGCGCACGAGACTTGCCATCCAGAAGTCGCCCGCTTTGATGATTGACATTTCATACGAGGACACCTGTGTGTACGTGTCACTTCTTCAGCACCGTACGTAGCCAACCGTGATAATCAGCGGTGTGGCGAGGTTTGGGGATGGAGGACAACAACGTACCTGTCAACCCATATGGTTTACCCGTATTCTTGTAGAGTTTTCAGGTCCATACGGCGTACAGCCATTTCACTACGTTGCTTTGTTTGCGTTTCTCCCTTGTGATGGGACTTTTCAGGATGAACTGTGATTTATAAGGGCACGCAGTGGCCAGCAAGGTCTGAATTGGTCTGTAATAAAGTAGGCACTGATAAGGGGTTGACACGTATGCAAAAAAAACTCAAGGAGTGGCGGAGACAAGACGGTTAATAACGGATCATGTCGCTCGGATGTCGGCTGCACAAAAGCCGAGCATAGCGGACGGAAGGACGCGACGAGCGAGCGTAAGCAGCATCGACGGCATGGACGGCGACGACCCCTTTGACCTCGACCACACCCTTGACCACTCCGCCCCCGCCAAAACATTACAATGATACCTGCTGGAGAGGAGGTGATGTCACCTCCGTGCCGATGTCCTCCAGCCGAACGTGGTGCTGCCCCTCCACGATCGTCTGCCGCTTGTCCTCTACCACCACCGCCTTGGGGGTGCATGCACAAAGACAGACACAAAGTTAACCCGCGTAGCCTTCACTGACTTTTGGGGCAAGTGATGTTGGGCGAGCACCTATGAAGGCCGGTACGGGCACATGAAGGGAGTGAGTGGCTAGCACAACGCTCCCTGGGCCGTATTCAGTCACCGCAGAAGGTGCTCAGTTGAGGCTGAGTCGACCTAGGGGAGGCTTAGTACAGGTTCAGGCATTTGTCACCGATATGGGCTGCGAGTGGGAACTTGAACTCGAGTCGCCGGCTCTGTAATGCAGTGCGCTAATCATTGCACCTCCGCTTCCCAAGAAGGCTCAAATAAAAGACAAAGATCCCCCATAAGGGCTAAACAGACTTAGGGGCAAGTGCTGTTAGCAAGCACATATGAAGGCCGGCACGGAATACGAGGGGGTGGGTGGCCAGCACCACGCTCCGGGCCGCCTTTGTCTCCAGAGTGACAATGTTTCACACCCAGCAGCAGGTACTCATTTGAGGCCGCGTCGACCTATGGGAGGCCTAGGTCAGGTTCAGACATTGGTCACAGATGTTGGCTGCGAGTGGGGAATTGAACTCGAGTCGCCGGCTTTGGAGTGCAGTGCACTAACCGGTGCATCTCCGCTCCCCACGAAGGCAGATATGTGACCCCTTGCTCACCTGTGCAATTGAAACACCTTTCAAAAATCGCTGAAGAAGAATAAAAGCATCTGGGTTGCTTGGAAATTGATGGTGGGCGGCTAGGGGGGGTATTGGGGAGAAATATGGATGGAATAAAAAAGCCCTGCGAGATGAGGCAATCTGGATAGCCTTTGGTTTTATTTTACCAGCCAGTTGCCATCCAGTACATGTATGTATGTTCACCTTTTTTCCCGCCATACGTAGCCAACCGCGCTGATCATAGGTGCGGGGGAAGGACCACAAACTAAACACAAAAATATAAGTTCTAAAGAAATGAATTTTCAATCTAGTTGATTTTAAAGTGCAAAGCTCCAGTGGCTTCATAATATTGGGAAGGAAGTGCCATTTCAGAGGGCCGCAGAAGCGCGATGCGGTGACCGTCTTTGTTCGATGCTGAATGCATGCGTGCAATGTTGAGTCCTGGATACGCGTATACACTCTAAGCGTGGGGTTCTCCCCCGATGTTGTCGGTGATTATCGTTCGAATCCCATATTTTGCACGCAACCCATGATGACACAACGCACGTTTCCGCGCGACTGCACTACAAACAGACTCGAGGCCTCGCTCGAGATAACTCAAATCTCACGGTCGCGTTTTTTGCCGGCCAGGACGAGTGAGCGTAGAGCGAGCGCGTTGTTTTTTTTAACGCACGATTAATGCGTGCCATTATTAATGCGTGATAACTACGTTAATTAACACAAAAATGTACAACTGCAAAAAAGAAAACGCAAACTCACTGTCGTGTAATTAACACTCCCTTACGATGTAAAAAAAAAAAAAGCATGCGGCGTGAAGGGGTTAAACGTGCGAGTAGCATGGCGGGCTCGAGCGGGCGGGCGAGCGAGAGTATCGGCGGGTGAACGAACGAGTACGCGAGTCGGTGAGCAAGCGGCGAGGAGGTGACTAGAAGCGGTGAGCGTGTTGCGGGCGCACAGGGACGCGAACTGGCTGGCGAGCGTGCGAGTGCACTGGTGAGTATTGTTCGCGAGTGAATAAAATAGTGAGCGGGTGAGCAGGCTAACGGGAGTGTGAGCGAGCACGGCAAGTGAACGAGAGAGAGGGAGGGAGAGCCTGCAGTTGTGTGAGGTGAGCGCGCGGGCCGACAAACGAGCGAGTGGGCGAGCGAGCATGCAAACAGGTGGATCAGCGGGTTGAGATCGACCCCGCCGCCTGTATTTTTGGAGTTTGCGCGTCTCTCCCCCTGTGGTCGCGTGGATTTTCTCCGGGTCCTCCGGTTTTTCCCTGCACATTTAGAAACAGCATCACGTGCTTATAGTATTTGGCTGCGAGAAATTTCCCACGAGACAAGACGCTTCTTTGAGTGATAATTCGTGGACAGGTCCCCTCTGAAAAAGAGCTACACAGCTAAGTGGGCACTACCTGGTAAAGTAAAATGGTTAAGTTTAGTTATTTTCGAGGGTGCAAGCATGAGAACAGGTGGGCGAGCGAGCGAGCGGGCGAGCAAATAGTCGAGCGCATGTGAGCATCATGATGGCAGCTCACCTTCCACAGCAGCGTGAGACTGATCTCGGCACGGCTGCTCTTCACCACAACCTCCTGCTGCTGCTGCCGGTGCAGCTCCGCCGGCGAGTCCGCGGGGGCCCAGGCCGGCGCCGCCGCCGCCGCTGCCAACGCCGCCGCCGCGCCCGGTTCGTCGCCGCTTCTCCGGCTCCGGGCAAAAAAATCCGAGCAGGGCGTCGCCCAACTCAGAATCTGAAAAGAAAGCGGAGCGGGGGCAGAGGGGGGAAATAGTCCGCGTCACGTCGAGGCCCAAATCGTGCCGCGAGACCGCACCCCACAGGCTGGATGGGAGGTCACGGGGGGTGCCATTGGCCACACTTCGCCACGTCGGTCAGGGCCTGGTTGGTGAAAGGGGGGGCGCGTCACCAGGACTGTTTCAGATCGTACTCGCCACCGCTGGTGTTAGCCGTGGCCGGGATCCGAACGCGGCTTGGTCGTGAGCGGAGCGAAATTAATTGTTGGTAGGGAGTTATTCTTCATCCTCTTATTCCTCTTCTTCTTTTTCCTATTTGTCTTCTTCTTCAGCCTCTTCCTCCTCCTCCTCCTCCGTCTTCAACCCCTCGAGGTCGGGGATGATCGTCTTCCAATCCGTGTCTAATCCACGGAAGACAGCTGGGCAAGGCCGACCGGGGACCGACAAGACTCTGCCGTCGAATCTGGGGCGGGGCGTGTGTTTTTGAGCGGGACGGGTGGTGGCGGTACACACTCGCACAGTTTGGTTTCATCGTCACCAGCCGGGATATATTCACTACTGGTTGAAGCCCCACCCCCCACCCCCCACTCCCCCCCCTAAGGCCGCCGCCATCACCCCACTTTCTCGGAATGCAAGAAATTCAGCCAAGAGGCTGTGACACCACGAGAACGATTACATCGCTCGTTCTTCTGCAAGTGGACGTGCTCTCGGGCTTGTTGCCCGCCCTTGGGTGCTACTCCATCGTGGAAGTAAACAATAACGACGTTATGTTTTGACGTTTTATTTTTAACGTGGACGTTTAATTACGAGGCGCTACATTGCACTCGCAAAAATATTAAAAGTTCAAGAATTTTCAAGGAAAAAAAAACGGAATTATACCCTGCAGTAATAGCTACCGCTGGAGTCGTGAAACCAATTACATGCTTGTGACTAGCTATCAATCTCCGCAGTTACACGGCCCATTTATGCTGCCAGTGTCCTGAGCCGCAATTACACAACGGTGTGGTTTTTGGAGGTAGCGCGGCTGCTTGCGATTGTTTAAATACCCCATTTAATGTGGCAGGTGACAGGGAAATAGACAATGCCTGTACACGCACATGGCATACAAGACTTCCGAGTTATCTTCCCACTGACAGCTGCTGGACTTGGGCCAATCACTGTTACTCATGTCCATCCAGAAATAATACACACGTCTTGCACAAACTCATCCCGTCGACGAACACTCATCCCATTCACCAACGCTCATCCCATTCACGAACACTCATCTCATTCACCAACACTAATCCCATCCACTAAAGCTCATCCCATCTACCAACACTCATTCCATCCACGAACACTCATCCCATCCCCTAACGCTCATCCCATCTATCAACACTCATCCTAGCCACTAACATTCATGCTCTCCACGAACCAGTAGCGAGTGCGTGGATCCACGACCGTGAAAGTGAGCAGACGGGCCATAAAGACAATGAGAACCTAACTTTCACAGAGGTTTCAATCAAATGTGACAAACATCAATGGTCGTGGTTCTGTCTGGAACCACTTTCACAGTCGCCAGGCATCCACTCGGAAGAATCTGCCACGGAGAAACTGGGCACGAATCCGGCTGTGTGCTGACAATGGAGGGCAACACAGGGAGCTGTTGGAATCGAGGTAACGTCATCTCTGGTGGGTTCCCCCCCCTCCGCCCCCGCCCCGTGCAAAGGGACATTGCGGTCACCCTGGATATGGATCAATTGCATTGGCTACGATAAAACCTAAGTTTCATGTCCACGCAAAAGGTCGCTTTGTTTCAGGCCCTCTTGCTGCAAGACACAAGTGTTACCACTGCGCCACCCTGCCCTGCCCACACATTGACCTATCCGATTAACGTTTAAGGTCGCAACTCATTGCACACAAAGTGCTTGACGCAAATGATCCACGGTGCCTTGCTGATCTCGTCAAGTAGCATGAACCATCACGTGAACGCCGGTCATCCTCGCAGCGGCTTTTGGCTAACCATTGAACAAAGACGATGATCGTATTCCGCGCTTTCGGATGCGCTTCTGCGGCTGTCTGGAATGCTCTTCCTGCCGATATTATGAAGCCACTGGTGCTATGTACTTTTAAATCATATAGATTGAAAACTCATTTCTTTAGAACTGCTTTTTGTGGCTAGTTAGTTGTCCTTCCCCCGCACCTCCGATTAGCACGGTTGGCGACATACGGTACGAAAGACGTTCAACATACATGTTTGTATCCTATGAAATGTCAATCATCTTATATCCTTCAACGCGTGGGGGGCGGGGTGCGAAATTTCCTCCACATCAGCTCACAATTAGCGGCTTCGATCATCGGGAAAACGGCACTTTGCCCGCGGTTATTTCGTCGCACTTGGATGCGCCGCTGCGTTTTCGGGTGCGCGGTTCATTTGAGCGGTGCTCTCAGCCCCGTAGAATTCGTTTGAAACGTTATCGTGGCCGTCGCCGTGTACGCTGCACATGCGCGTGATATTTTTGCCTCGTTGAGCCGGTAATAGTGAAGCCAAGTCGGGGCGCGGTTCCAACAGTTCGGAACGTGCACGTCGGATGCCATAAAGACGTGGGTAGTCGTCGGTGTAACCGCAGAGCCGCCTTCCACCGTGGGCATCGATAAGTCAACCAATTAAGAGGAGTGTCATTCAGAGAAGATAAATCATCTGTTCAACTTCATTTGCAAGCGAGAAGCGCTCGTGAAAAAAAAAAAACACCCACACTGTCGGGCGCCGCTCGCTATTTATTTCCACCACCGATTGCACCGCGAATGTGGAATATCACTGGATTCAAGCCGTCATCGTGGCCAACACTGCTGATAATGCCATGGAAAAAGATGCCCCGTAGAGCCTTAACAGACTGTTGGAGCAAGTGCTGTTCGCAAGCACCTATGAAGGCCGGGACGGCACACGACGGGATGGGTGGCAAAGTGCCACTCCCGGCCACCTTTGCCTCCCTCCAGTGCCGATGTTTACACACGGCACCAGGTACTCATTAGAGGCCGAGTTGACTGAGGGGAGAGGCCCAGGATCGGTTCAGATCACTGTCACTGGTGTTGGCTGTGAGCGGGAATCAAACTCGGGTCGCTGGGTTCGTAGTGCAACACGCTAACCTCTATGCTACTGATCCCTATTATCTCTGATGATGCCATCACCGCACCACACCCAATCGCCAGCGCTATCTACCCTATGCCAGATCTTGCAGCGGCAGTTGCTGCACGGTAGAGACACAGCGGTCCCAAAAACCTGCCCCAAGAATTCCACCATCCGCTCTTAGGTCTTCTCTTCTGTTTGCTGGACTCATGGAGACGACTGCAATGCCTGACACGAATCGATTATAAATGCAAGCTATTGAAAAACTACGTAAAAAAATAATGTTCACAAATGTTTGTTTTCGGCTTTCTGTTCGCTTCATCGCTTTTGTCATTTTTGGTGGCCCAGATCACTCTTAGCAAATGGGACTCCGATCCTGGTCTCCAGATTTCTCACATAGTTAAACATGTCATGTTAACCGTCACATTGTATTTCACAGTTACACTGTAACTGCGTATGACTAAATCAAAGAGTTGCTTGTCACTTTGGTTTAGTATATCAAGGCATTAAGGCCTGTACCGCAGATATACATAACCTGTTCTGATGTTAACTACCTCGCCTGGTAAACATGAGGTAGTGGGTTCGATCCTAAACCTGTCGCTTTTATATCTGGGGTTTGCGTGTTCTCCCTGTGGTGGCGTCGATTTGTCTCCAGGTAATCCGATGGTGGCAGGGACAACAAGCTAAACGCAAAAATAAATTTTAGAGAAGTGAGTTTTCAATCTAAATGATTTAAAAGTACATAGCTCCAGTGGCTTCCTAATATCGGAAGGAAGAGCGTTCCAGACAGCTACAGAAGCGCATCCGAAAGCGCGCAATGCGGTGGACCGTTGTTGTTCGATGGTTAGCCAAAAGCCGCTGCGGTTGCAGAGGATGAGCGGAGTTCGCGTGATGGTTTAAAAGAAATGATTATGATGAGGACGACGATAAACACAGCGGAAACATCGCCCTCGTCACAACGACGACCTCTGACACCCACCTGCTCGTCAGCGAAGGTCACGTCCGTGTACATCAGCTTGCCCGTATCCTCGCACGACCCTGTGGCACACGTGGAGAGACACGGCGTTCACCTCCTAGCTAACGGCAGAGCTACGGGGTCACCCGCGGTTACCCGTGAGCGGATTTATCTGGAGCGCGGTTTAACTGCATTCATTCTCACCTTGTACGTATGTACGGTGAACTTCTTTCGCACCATACGTATAGCCAACCATGCTAATCGGAGGTACAGGATGGTGTGGAGATGTGCAAACAGGGAACAGACCATAGACCACGGAGCAGTTTTATTGACGTTAGTTGTCGATTAACGAATTTTACCCTGGAAAACCCCTTGAGATGGGACACACATCTCGTTTGCAAGGGCATACATTGAAGTAAAATCAGAATATGTATTCATACTGGAGGAATCCGATGAGCTATTAAGCTCTTTTTCACAGATGTTCAACAGGGGTAGGTAGGAACGTTACAACACATGCAGCAAACACATAACGGCACGCAGACAAAACATTTTCAAGTAGTGAACTACTTGTGAACTCTGTGTGAGACCACACAGCCAGTTCCATTCGTGCGCATGCTGGTAGCAGCAATATGGTTCGGGAGCCAAAAGCCAATGTCGAGGGCTGCTAGCCACGAAGAGAGGGCTTCAGGTGACAGACGGTTCGTGTCGTTTTGCTGTTCCTCCACCTCCGTCGAAGGTAGCGCAGACCACAGTGGGTTTTACTTGGCAGCGAAGCCATAGAACTCAAGAGCGAAGGCACTGAAGTTGCCTCTGTTTAACTGGGCGGAGACCTCAAGGGAACAGGATGCGCCTCATGTGCATGAGTGACCCTGTCACCAAAGGGACAAAAACAAGAAAATAATAAAAAATACCGGAGGTAAAATAAAATAAATACAGCCCAGAGCAGACAAACTGAGTCAGCCCCCAAGAAGCGATCCCCTGCACATCAACCGAAGCCACTTCCTTGCTAAAGAATCTGGACAGGGATCTAGAAGCAGTTTCGTAAATACTTTCCAAGCGTCTTTGAATGGACCGAGTTGATCTTGATGTGCTCCGGCTGCCCGAAGCCAGTTTTTGTTCACATTTTCGAAAAAAATTTCTGCATTGCATTGACTGGCCAAAATCTAGTCACTTGCCGTTGCAAAAATTACATTCGGTTTATTGTGTTTTTATACATTTTCAAAACTGCAATTCACCTTCTTTCCATAAGCCTTCTTTAAAATGTTTACGAAAATGGTTGTACAATTTTGCCAATTATAATTTTTTAAAATATAGAAATATATATTCTGTACTGAGAATTACTTGCCGTAATCCAGGTTGTAATTATAAAAGATTTGGTGATGTTCCAAGTTTCTCAATGGAATGTTTATTTCCATCTCATGGTTGATTAAAGATGACTGACCGTGGCGTGAAATCGGATGATCGCGAGTAAATGTCGGATGATCGTGAGTTAAGATCGAATGATCGCGAGCTAAGATCGGATGATCATGAGCTAAGATCGGATGATCGCGAGCTAAGATCGGATGATCGCGAGCTAAGATCGGATGATCGCGAGTTAAGATCAGATGATAGCGAGTTAAGATCCTGGTTGGGGGTTGACTCGGCCCATCATCCCTCTCCGATAAAGCACCACTTTGTGGGTAATTCAACAGCGGTAAACGGCAGATGAGCACCAACGCCTCAATGCTCATTAAAGCAGAAAATCCCTTTTGACTTCCGATCAAGCTATACGCAAGAAGCGGAAACAAGCTGGCATTCAGCCAGTATTTACATTTTTTAATTTTTCAGACGCTATTTTTTTCTTGATTGAACGCGACGGCGATCGGGGCAAGGTCACAGCGGCTCACCCGGTTTGCAGCGCGTCGCTTTGAAGCACAGTTTCATCTTCTCCCGCGGCCCGAGCGTTATCCCTGAAACAATGACAGCAGCAGCAGCAACAGCAGCCGCGTCAGCAGGAGCGTCGTCATCATCACCACCACCACCACCACCGGCATCCTTGGAGGAGGGAGGGGGGGGGGTTGACATCCGCATGCCTGAGCGGTTTCCGCTAACGGCGTGGCGTGCGAGCAAGCCCTCCGCGCTACCGGTTTCGCTCGAGCAATAAGTCGCCGGGCAGATGAAATAAACGGCGAGGATATGAACGGACGTCCGTGCGTTTCTTCATCGGGCACGGGGCGCAACAGAGCGGCGGTGAAATCGTTCACCGTAGACACACAGGCGCGCGCACGCATGCATGTGTGTCGGCTCAATCGTTTGCTCACCCCATTTAGACAACCAATTGTTTATCATTATACAGATGCCCTTATAAGGTCACACACACAGATGCACATAGCGTTATTGACGAATGTGCCGAGTTTATTTTGTATGCATGTACGTTGAACTTCTTTCGCACCGTACGTAGCCAACTGTGCTAATCGGAGGTCCCGTGTTGAGTCTATGGGCAGTGTTAGTCTACAGGAAGTACATATGTATGTTGAACTTCTTTCGCACCGTACGTAGACAACCGCGCTAATCGGAGGTGCTTGTGCAACCCTACCAAGGCAGCAGCAGCACCACCACCAAATAGCTTGTTTTTATTAGCATTCAAGCTTTTAAAGCTGCATCTGAGGCTGCGCTAACATTCGACGGCTTCGGGTGATCTTTAACTCACTCCAGCAGCAGCTTGGATTTAAGTTAGGGCACGAGTTTTTTTGTTCCCATCGATTAACGCGCGTGGATTGAGGACGAAGATTTCAATTAAACGAGGCATGGATAACGCCAGGGATGAATGATGCCGCGCTTCTCATTGACGAGTGGGGCTGAGCCCAGAGGCTTAGCGAAGGTGACTTAAGGAGAGACGGCCGCGGTGCAAAGGCTTACGAAGTTTCACCCAAAAGTCAGAAGGAATTGTTTCAGGGCTGCTCTAACAAAGAGTGGCGGTGGTGGTGGTGGTGGTGGCGGCGGCGGCTGTGGTGGTGCGTGGCTGGGAGGGGATCATCTCCGATTAATTATTCAGCCCTCAGCCGTTTGCTGGATGTTCCCACATTTCCGACGGAAGGTGCCAAAAGTCATCTCACTGGACAACTGCTGCCGCCCAGGAGGGGTGGGGCGGAGGGGCGATCCAACACCAACGTGGACTTGAATGAGAAAGTTTTATTGAGGATCGCGTCATGGTAACGCGGGTAACGGTTAAGCGGGTCATGGTCACGCGGGTCATGGTAATAGGGGTAAGGGTAACACGGGTCATGGTAACATGGGTCCTTTAGCCAAGGGCTAGGATTGGGGTTACGGTCAGGGTTCGGAATAGGGGTTACGATTGAGATTTGGGGTCGTGATTGGGGGTCGTGATTGGGGGGTCGTGATTGGCGGTTAAGATTGGGGATGAGGGTTAGGAATGGGCCCTGCGGCCAGAGTACGGATTTACCTGTGCCAGCAGGCGGGGCCAAGCACGGAGACAGGAGCCACTCGCCACTCACGCTCGACACCTGGCTCACCTGGAACTCCCGCACGCTGCTTTCCACCTGCACACAAAGGTACAAAGACAAAGATCCCTCGTGTAGCCTTAACAGACCGTTGGGGCAAGTGCTGTTAGCGAGAACCTACGAAGGCCGGCACGGCACACGAGGGGGGTGGATGGCCAGCACCAGGCTCGGCGCTGCCTTTGTCTCCCTCGTGACGATGTTTACACACCGCATCAGGAATTCATTTGAAGCTGAGTCGACCTAGGGGAGGCCCACGACCGGTTCGGATAATTGTCACTTGTGTTGGTCGTGAGCGGGAATCCAACTCGGTTCGCTGGGTTCGCAGCGCAGCGTGCTAACCACTACACTCCTGCTCACCCCACACACAGACACGTGAATACACACACACACACACGCCTTTACACGCATTCACTCAGACATAGATCGTTCCCCGAAGGAGAAGTGTCTGAGCAAATTCATCTTTTGTAGCTTTTCATGAATAATCTCACCGGCAAAGAAAGCACGCATTCTCTACACGTTGGCCGTGGGAAAACGAACCAAATACGAAAACAATGTAAATGCAAATGATTTCAGAGAAGCGTGTTTTAAGATGCAACAACACTTCCAGGCTCCAGGTTCAGGCCTACAGACACAGACGAAGACTTCAAATGCTTCTATTCCAGGCAAGCTAATTAGTTATTTATCGGAAGCATCCTGGCCATAAATGATAGCTCCACAAAAGCGGCTCATTACGTGGACATGTAAAGCAGTCAAATACCCTAAACGCACGTTGATTCTAAATGTGGAGGGAAAAACCGGAGGACTTGAAGAAAAATCCACATGACCACGGGGGAGAGAGGCATGCAAACTCCAAATATACAGGAGTCAGGGTCGGGATCAAACCCACGACCTCCTGTATACATGTTTTTTGTCTGTTTGTTTGTGTTTCTCCCTTGTGATGGGACTTTGTATGATGAACGCTCGGGGTGACCGCTAAGGTCTGAATTGATCTGCAATAAGGTAGGGCACTGATAAGGGGTTGACAGGTATGTGTGCAAATGTATGGCTCTTTTGATTAAGGGGGTTAAAGAGGGCCCTTCCCCCATGCCGTGTGGGTCGCGGGGGTTACTTGACCATATTTCACCGTGCCGGTTGGTAAAGGAGGTTGTGGCTCGCGAGCAGTTCACACCCTCATTTGCCACCGATGTTAGCCGCCATGGCCGGGAATTGAACTGGGGCCGACAGATTAATAACACGGCGCGCCACCCACCGCGCGCTACCACTCCACCGCCGCTCCACATGACACTTCCGCATCGATTCTCCCCCCACCTTCTCACGGCAAAAGATACCACCACAGCAAATGCGAATAAATTTGGGTCAATTTTTTTTTTAGTTTTCTACTCTCCCTCTCTCGAGACAGAGAGAGAGAAACTTGAACAGAAGCCACCTGTTCACCGAGCACAGGCGCCGCCGGTGCTTAAGACAGCACATGCGAGCGGGCCGCCGCACAGAGCCCGTTGACCGAATAACCACTCTCCCGGTTGTTCCAAGGGCGCCGGAGGGAAACGGGAGCGGAGAGCTCTTTACATGTGGCCAAACTTCCAAACGAATCATTTCCGGGATTTGACGTGCGGTGGACTGGCAGGCCAGTTGGGCCCCGAGGGGAGCGAGTGTGGGCGGCGGAGGGGGAGGTGTTGCGGGCAATCCATAACCGACAAGGGCGACAAAATCTTCACGTCATTACCACCGCCTACCCTCTTTAACAAGCAACCAACCCCTGCCGGGCACTCCACTGGCACTTGAGATTGAGGTGTGTGTGTGTGTTAGTGGTGAGTCTCACCTGGTTGAGGTGTTTGTGTGTTCATGGTGTGTGTTCGTGGTGAGTCTCACCTGGTTGAGGTGTGGGTGTTAGTGGCGAGTCTCACCTGGTTGAGGTGTTTGTGGTGTGTGTTAGTGGCGAGCCTCACCTGGTTGAGGTTCTCAATGTTGAGCTGCAGCAGGAGGGAGTGCGCGTCGCGCTGCACCCGGTGGCTCCGCGCGGCTTTGGCCGTCAGCCGGAGCGAGCGAGCGGTGCACACCACCGCCGTGTGCCGCAGCACGCGGTGACTGCGGTGGGGGTGGTCGGGAATAAACGGCGAGTTACCGCAAACCCTCGACTTACAGAGGACTTACAGAGACCGCCCGGGTGGCAGCTTTAGGGGACTTATGGGGCGTGTGCGCACGCGTTGGCGGGGCACTGCGGAGAAATTAACCACATTTCCCGGGATCCGAGATGTCTGCAAGTCACGGGGCGCGGGTCCCTCCTGTTCACCGCCGAATCTCGGAAACGCTCGCAAGTGACTCGGCGGTCATTTCATTTCGAGAGGCGTCGTGGCGCTGTTATTTTCAAAGACGTTGTTACTCCGTTGCAGAAAACCGAGGCGGTTCTCATCTCCCCTCACGTGGCATTCCACATTCCTATGGCAAGGGCGAGTCAATCCAGAGGACAAAACACCTGCCGACTTTCTCCATGAAATGGGTACGCACTTTCTCGACTCCCCACAGAGTGACGATGGCCTGAGTCAACTGACCAATCAGGATTTGAGCTCGCGATAAACTTTCCCCTGATGCCATCGGAAGGTTGATTTCGCTCGGGGGGGGGAGGAGCGGAGGTGGGGGGGGGGGTGTCCACCTGAGCTTGGGGTGCCTCTCCGCGCCCTCGTAGTAGAAGATGAAGTTCACTTCGTGGACTCCCTCCTCCTCGGGCCCGCGGATCCACATGGGCAGCCGGAGCGTCGCGCCGGGCTCCAGCCGGCCGTGCGGCAGCGGCACCTCCACGATGCCATGGGACGCCGTCGCCGCCAGGGGGCGACCCCGAGGCTGCGTCGGCGGCGCCGGCGCCGGCTGCCGCGGCACGGGGGTGACGCAGGGCTGGGCCGGGCGCGGCCTCGTGGCGTACGTGCCGGCGGCGGTGGCGCCGGCGGCGGTGGCGCCGTCACCGAAGGTAAAGAATTCGGGGTTGCGGGAGGCGACGCGGAGCGAGAGGAGCGCCCGCGGCCCCACGTTGGCGAACTCCGCGTGCGTCTTCTGGATCTCGCCGCACAGCAGCGCCGACGGGAAATTTATGAAGAAGACCTGCGAAGTTGGGGGGGGGGGGCGTGGGGGTGGGGGGGGGTGGGGGGGGGCGTTTGTCGACCGCCGTTAAGGTCAACAGCGGGCGTGTTGGCACGGAGGTCACAGTGACCACACTGAAATGGTAAACTTGGGAGTCGAAAGTGAAGTGGAGTTTGTACGTTTCCCCCATCCCCCCCCCCAGCACTGGAAGGCGCTCCCCCCACTCCATCACTCCCCCCCCGTTCTACTGTTGTGGACCAGAGGTCACTTGAAGGGATCTCAGAGGCAGCTCTGTGATATCCACTTTTGTGGGGGCTTTCTGTTACCGCGAAACGCTCGAGTGGCTTTGCGAAAGACCCAATGTAACGATAGTTAAATTTTACGTTCTGGCATTGTAAAATAAAAATTAACTCGTAAAACCCCTGCTTAGAGTATCATAAAATTCACAGTAAAAGAGGAGCGTTCGTTTTGATGCGTGAAATAAATCAAGGCCACCGTCTTTTCCAACGACCTTCAGCAACATTTGATGGGAATGAGGAACAAGTTGATGATAGCGGGTTCCCCCCTTAGGGTGAAAAACTGTGGAGTGATAAATTAATTAGTCGTGAAACACAACACTGCATAAAATTACATCACTGAGATCAAAGGGAGAGCTAAAAATATTAGAACAATGTGTGTGTGTGTGGATCATCACAGCTGCTTGGCCATAACGAGCAATAAAGCACCTTTCAAATTAGCAATCTCAAATTTCTGCTCAGTCATACGTATATTGAACTTCTTTTGCGTACCGTACATCGCCAACCGTGCCAATCGGAGGTGTGAAATCAGTTGCAGTTATTACTGTACAGCTCTTTTACAGAAGCGACATGGCCACAAATGATAGCTCCACGAAGTGGCTCATCATCACGTGGAGATTTATTACAGCCAAATACTCGAAACGCGTGATGTTGATTCTAAATGTGGAAGGGAAAAACCAGAGAACCCGGAGAAAAGTCCACGTGACCATGGGGGGAGAGAGAGACACAAACTCCAAACATAGAGGGGTCAGGGTCGGGATCGAACCCACGATTTCCTGTATACCAGGTGAGGTATTTAAACATCTCGCCGCTGTGGCACCGAGTCCAAGGTCGCAGTACGTACTCAACTTTTATAGCAAAGATAACCAGAGTCAAACAACCTAGCCGGACAATGCCATCCCCACCCATAGGTACACGATCGCAAAAACCTACACTCATCTGGTATGGACGGTCAGCCAATCTAACGGAGCAATGCCATCCGCCCAAGCGCTTGGGCCGGGAAAGGCACCGCTCTCTGCTTTCTGTTTTTAGTTTTGCTGTCCTTCCCCCGCACCTCCGATTGGCTACGTACGGTGCGAAAGAAGTTCAACACACATATGTAGGAAGGGCAAAAATCTACCAGCAGGGATGCGCTGCTGGCAGTGTGGTCTAACCTAGGGGACCCCCCTTCACCGCCCCCCAACGTGGCAGCTGTCCCTGTGCGGCTCAAGCAACTCAGCACCTGGCCTGACAGCGGGTGCCAGCCTGCCAGTAGTGGCGGGGGGGCGGGCGACGGCGATGACTGTGGATAAACACGGCCACCGTTTTACGCACGGCGTCATAGATGCGCGAACGCATTACGACAACGCTACGTAGCTCCGCTACGTCGAGCGAACCCACTGCGACACGAGCCGGGGCACAAGCCCGAGTCGTCGTAATCGATGTGGCACCTGCAGCAGGGGCATCGGCGGGGTGACGAGGGGGTCGAGCCGCCGGTCGGGCCCGTACTGCACGGTCGTCTTCTCGGCCAGCGTGCCGTTGAGCCGAGGGCCCTGCACCTCCAGGTCCTGGCGGCCGCGCACCACCATGCCGTTTCCGGGCACCTTCACTGCACGCCCACAGCGAGACGTGGGTGGGTGGGCAAGTGTTGGGTGAGTGGAGTGGGTGAGTGTTGGATGAATGAGTGGGTGGATAGGTGGATGTGTGGGTGAGTGGGTGGGTGGGAAAGTGAGTGGGTGAATCAGTAAATGGGTGAGTGAGTAGGTTGGTGAGTAAGTGGGTAGCTGAGTAAGTGGGTGAGTGAGTTGGTGAGCAGGTGGTTGAGTGGGTAAGCGAGTGAGTAGGTCAGTGGTAGGTTGGTGAAGGCAGGGAACACAGACGTTGGGAATGTACTACAGTACAAAAATGGCGTTTGCTGTACAGCCCACAATCCAGCCCCACAGAAGCCGACAAGACCTAGGCTAGAACTAATTGTAACAATAATCAGTTACATTTGGCATTTTTCCAATTCGTATACCACAGGGCTACCGCAAAGGTGCTATGCTTCACATACACAGCCTGCATCATCATCACCACCACCACCACCACCACAAAAAGTCACTTAATGATTACACCCATGATTACTCCGATTAGCAGTTGGCTACGTACGGTACATGCAAAGTTCAACACACACACACATATAAATTGAACGAGTGTTCGTCCAAAATCACAAAAGTATCCGCATGTGAATCTCTTCCTGGCGAGGGTAAAACTATTGGCGGCCAGCAACTGGAGGGTAGCAGCGGACCAAGAAGAAAATATTCGAAGAGCAGAAACTTTAATTTATTTCAAAGAAGCCTACGATTAACTTAATGCAACTCTGACGGCAGCGTTAATACCCAAGCGGCAGACCATTGCAATATTGGCGATAACTATCGGGGGGATGGGGGGGGGGGGTGACCAACTAAAGTAGAGCTCCGTTTTGTTTGTAATCCGTTTTGAATGCGTCACCGAATTTCACGTCACACTATCAGTTTAAATGTAGTGGACGTTCCTCCGTTCGAGTACTGCTTTCCTGAAAGGCGCCGTTTATTGGTGCTTCAACGCAATGCGAGAAATCCGATTTGTTATCATTGTTGTTATTATCATCGTCGTCATTGTCCCGTGTTGAAGAAAAATCACGCGTACCGCGTATAATCGGAAAACGCTTTCCCAACACGCGCGGCGTCGTCCTCCGGAGCGTTACATCGGCGACAAAAGCGTCACGTGACAACCGTGACAAACTTTTAGCGGAGCCTTTTCCTATCTATGTTTTTTGGAAACCATTTGGATGAAAGTGGCCAGATTTCTGAAAGGGCAAATCCCAAATAGCAACAACTTCGCACTTAAGTTAAATTCATTTTGGATCATCTGAACCAGAGTAAACTACTAAACTATTATTTTTTATATTTTACCAAGTGAGGCCCAACTGAGCTATATAGCTCTTTTTCAGACGCGACCGGGCTATCACAAATGATAGCTCATTGAAGTGGCTTCTCACGTGGAAATTTATCGCAGCTAAATACTCTAAATGTACTTTTCAAAATGCGGAGGGAAAACCAGAGGACCTGCAGAAAAATCCACGTGACCACGGGGAGAGAGAGAGACACGCAAACTCCAAATATGCAGGCGTCAGTGTTGGGATCGAACGCACGACCTCCTGTATCCAAGGTGAGATAGTTATACATCTCGCCCCCCTAGCCCCCCACCCCCCCCACCCATCCGAGCCTGTTACATACGGAGAGAGAGAACACTCTTAACGTATTAAATCTTAGCTGCAAAGCGACAATGCAATCGGATCTCGCGGCATGCACCCGAGAACCTAGGCGGCGTAGTGTTGGTTGCCCCGCGAGCGAACCTGCGCTGAAGGGATCTTCGGGGTCGACGGCCGCCGAGGGAAGGGTGCTGAGGCTGTAGACGAGGCCCAAGATGTGCAGCTCCCCCGTCTGCTTCGGCAAGAGACGCAGTCTCGCCTGCGCCACCACGCACACGGGAGGACAGCGACGGATTTGGGACTTCCTCGAAGGAATGCAATTTGGAATGGTTCGCGATGTTAGGAGGAGCCAAACGAAACGGAGGTGGATGGACAACAAGGGCTGTACCGTGGAGGGTAAGGCGTTCTTTCTCTGGATGCTTTCTCTGCATGGACAAGGCAATACCGTGGCGAATAAGGCGTGCGTTCTCTGGTTGCTTTCTCTTGATGGACAGCAAGGGCTGTACTGTGGAGAATAAGGTGTGTTTTCTCTTGCACATACAAGAGTGCGCGGTCATGGTGCTCTGGAAGAATCATGTTCAGCAGCCAGAACTCACCCAGGGCAAACCACGCAAAGTAAAGTGTCAAACGCACCTCCGACTAGCTATGTTTGGTGGGAAAGAAGTTCAACATACACACACCTCCACAGTGGCCTCTCCCTGTATGTTACTCAGTGTCATTTTTAAACCACCGGGGAATTATAAATCCGGGGTGTGTGATGAGCGAGCGAGCGAGCAGCTGCGGAATGAGCTGCCAGCAAACTTTTGAATGGGTTCGTGCATTCTCTCTCTTTTCTCCATTCTTATGTCGCACCGTGATGCCCGACAAAGGAAAATTCAAAATTTAATCTGAGCTTGCCCTTGAAACAAAACATTTCGTCTTTGTCCTTCGTCGACAGCTTTATTTGAACCTCGGGAGGCAAACCCACGCACGGTCTGTCGGTATGGCCGCGTGTACGTGCGCGAGTGTGCGCGTCCGTCCATTTGGTCATCAATCAGTCAAGTCAGTCCATCAGACATTCTGTCCATCGGCCCGTCCGTTCGTCTGTCAGTCGTGACGCCCATCAATCAATAATTCAATCTGTCAGTCACTCAGTCGGTCAGTCATTACATTTGTCAGTCACTCAGTCAGTCAGTTAGACATTCTGTGCATCCATCAGTCATTCAGTCCATAAGTCAGTTAGTCATTCCGTCAGTCAGTCCCATACCAAGCTGGCACCGATTAATTTCTGGCTTTGGCTCTGGATTTCAGGCGCCCCCGTGATTAAACCGGGTTTTCAAAAGTGGTGGACTAAGCCCGGTCACCAATGACCGCAAAAAGAACAAAATTGACCATCACATAAAATTTAGTTTTACACTTTCTTTTGATAAATTCCAATGGTAAGAAGTAAAAAAACAGAGAAAACTGTTTGACTGCAATGTGACGCGCATCACCCTGCACCGGGGCCGGTGGGAATGTACCACCCGTATGGATGTACGTACGTTGGACTTCTTTCGCACTGTACGTAGCCAACCGTACTTAAACGGAGGTGCGGATGAGAGGTCACCTGAGGGGCTGCTGTGTTAGTGAATGTGCGAGCGGGTCAACTCACGGCTTTGGTCTCCTCGCTCTGCAGAACAAACTCGGGATTGACTTCCGTTTTGATGAGGTCACTTCCTGCCGGCATCTGCGGGAACAGAGAGGACGTGTAAGATGGTGATGGCGGTGGCACGGGGTGGGCTGGTTAGGTGCCGAGCGGGTGACCACCAAGAAGAGTTCCTGGGTTCGAATCCAGGTTTCAGCCGCCCAACCACAGTGGTTAAACTGGGTTCTCAAGAATAGAAAGTTGATGGTCTCAGCCTGGTGACCAATTACTGCATTAAAAAAATCCAATTATATGGGCACAACTGAGATCCTATTTTTTGTTTATCCAGGTTTAAGCTCTTCGCTCTTTTTCAGAGGCGACCTGGCCACACATGATAGCTCAACAAAAGTGGCTCGTCATGTGGAAATTCATAGCAGGCAAATAATCTAAACGCATGTTTCTGAATGTGGAGGGAAAAACCAGAGGACCCGGGGAAAAATCTACGCGACCATGGGGAGAGAAGGAACATGCAAACTTCAAATATACAGGCGATCGCACCCACAACCTTCTGTATACAAGGCGAGGTAGTTAACATCTCGCCGCAACAGCACCCCAGTCAGTTCTCCCGGCGCGGCAGTTAAAACAACGGTGCAAGTTTTTTAAATCGCCCACCCCTCACCTCCGGCTGTCCACCCAGGGGTTGAGATTGCTACAACCACAGTAAGCCAATCCGGTAAGCTGCGAGCGGTGGGGTCAAGTGTGTGTACTCCCACCTCTTCCATGACATCTGGCCAGGGTGGAAGAGCAGGCAGAAAATGCCCCTGGACAGTGGGCTCGTTAGAGATCCCTCTTAATTAGCAGGCAATTGCAGGGCTGCGCCTTTGCTTATAGGTACAACAACAACAACAGGGCACTGAAGGGCAAGCGGAATGCAATTTTGGAGGTTTTATTTTTTTTTAAACCCTAGGACATTTTCAGCAAAGGCACCGGACTCGAAAAACAAACACGCGTACAGGCGGGCCGCGTGAAACGAAGACACGGGCCGGGTGAAGCGAAGACACGGGCCGAGTGAAACGAAGACACGGGCCGAGTGAAACGAAGACACGGGCCGAGTGAAACGAAGACACGGGCCGAGTGAAACGAAGACACGGGCCGAGTGAAACGAAGACACCGGTCGTGTTTAGTGAAGACACCGGCCGTGTTTAGTGAAGACACCGGCCGGGTGAAACGAAGACACGGGCCGGGTGAAACGAAGACACCGGCCGCGTGAAACGAAGACACCGGCCGGGTGAAACGAAGACACGGGCCGTGTGAAGCAAAGACACGGGCCGAGTGAAACGAAGACAGAGGCCATATCAGGCCCTCACCGTTGACGTGGAGAAGCTAGGCGAGTGCCGACAATGGCGCTCACCGCTCTCTCTGCGTCACGACATGGACCTGCCCTTAGAGACTGGTGGCGCGGTCACGATCGCGATGAGGGCGATGACGAGCACGACGACGAGGGCGACGACGACGGCGGGTGTGACGACGAGGGCGACGATGACAAGGGTGATGATGAGGGTGATGACGAGGGCCACTACGACGACGAGTGCGTCGATGAGGGCGACAACGACGAGCTCAATGATGAAGAGCGCGACGACGACGACGAGGGTGATGGCGACGAGCGCGACGTCTCACCTTCTCGTTGGTGACGGCGGATGGCGAGGTGTCGGCCGGCGCCGGGGAGAGAAAATCCCGCGCCTGGAACTTCCAGAGCAGCGCCAGGTCGGTCAGGACCAGCGGGATCTTCAGGGGGTTCCTGAAGCACACCTCCACCGTGATGGGCTCTGAAAGCACACACACAGGAGAGTCATCAACAACGGGTATCGGTAAAAAAACAAAAGCCTCTATCGGAAACAATACAACATGGAAGTATATAGCGGCCGCTGTCAAGACGCTACAAGCTCATTCGTTTTATACAGAGAGAGACAGGCAGTCAGTCATCGGCAGAGGGGCAGAGAATCAACAGCGTGGATGGCTTGGGGAAGGGAGTTCTAGACAATGGGGGCAGCAGAAGAGAATGAGCCATCTCCCACTGAGCAAAGGCTGTGTGTGGGCTTCAACAGAAAGCCTTTGTTGCTGGAGCAGAGAGTTAATGGAGGGGAGTAGAGTGAGATGAGAGATAGGAGAGTGAGTGGAGGTGAGCAGGGTGAGATGAGAGGGGAGATGTAGGGGAGTGCGTGGAGGGGAGTGGAGTAAGATCAGAGGGGAGAGGCAGGAGAGTGTGTGGAGGGGAGTAGAGTGAGATGAGAGGGGAGATGTAGGGGAGTGCGTGGAGGGGAGTGGAGTAAGATCAGAGGGGAGAGGTAGGAGAGTGCGTGGAGGGGAGTAGAGTGAGATGAGAGGGGAGATGTAGGAGAGTGTGTGGAGGGGAGTAGAGTGAGATGAGAGGGGAGAGGTAGGAGAGTGTGTGGAGGGAAGTGGAGTGGATGAGAGAGGAGAGGTAAGGGAGTGTGTGGAGGGTAGGAGAGGAGCAAGATCATTAAGGATCTTTAAAAACGGTGAGTGCGATCTCGAAATTGAAGCCTCCCTCAATCGCAAGACTTTTTCAGGAGGGTCCTGCATCAGGATGTTAAGCAAGTTCTATTCACGATATTTCAGCATGAAGTTGGAATTCGGAGTACACGGATAAAACCCCAAAAAACATAATGAGGGGGTAATGTTCAAGGCTCTGCCCCACTTAGTTTCAATCCATTGCTGTATGGTGCTCTCATAGTAATAATAAGTGGCTCCGCTAAGCCTGACGCAATTGTCTGGCTCGCCCACTGGTTCACTGAAGTGTGCATGCACGGCAACTGCCCGTATCCCGCGGCGGCACGCGGGCCAGGGACAAAAGCCACATCCCCGAGCCAACATGGTGCACAGCAGCAACACAAAGACAAACATCCCCCGCATAGCCTCAACAGACTTCGGGGGATAAGTCCCATGAAGGCTGGAACGGGCACACGAGTGGGTGGCTGGCTGGCACCACGCCAGGCTGCTTTTGTCTCCCCAGTGCTGCTGCTTCCACACCACACCAACTGCCAAGTTGGAGGGCCGGTAGTCAAAACGTCACCGCTCAGCCGCTCGGGTGAATACTTTTTTGATTCAAGTGAACAAAGCGAACGATTTGGCCCTCTCGTGGAGCGCGCGGGGAAAATGCCAGACGTGTGAGGAGGCAACACCATCCCCTGTACAGATGGGCACGGACGATCCACATGTTGCTGTACCGCCTTCTCCTGGCGCGCCAGCGATACGGCACCTTCTCGACGCCCACGGGAAGGAGAGAGTTTCACGATATCCGAGCGGCGATCCGCCAACCCTCGCTGCTGCCTCCAAAAGCGCTGGATTCAAGGCAGCCACGTGCAGAGCGGCCACCACCGCCGCCCGCCGGCTAACGATCACAATGATGATGATGATGATGAATCGTTATATTGCTGCGGCCACCGCCACTACCAATCCTTTGACATCAATGTATAGGTCAAGGTCGGGGGGCGTGCCAAGAGAAGCGATTGTTGTTAAAAGTAGCAGCTTGGAAACGATTAAAGAAACCGCGCAAACGCAACCTCACGCGAGCGGAGATTAGCGCTCTTAATTAGGGGGCGACCCCCAGGCTGCCCCACCCCCGTCCCACGCACAGCTGGCGCCAATGACGCCGATTATCGGCGGGTGTCCAAGTGGAGCGCCGCAAGGGGTTGGGAGAGAGCGGTGGGGGTTGAGCGACGGGCGCTTGCGCAAGCGAGGATTTAATTAAGAGGCAACGGTCGGACGTAAAGTCGACCGGACCTAGTGCCTCCCCCCTCCCCCCCCCCCCCCCCCCCCCCCCCTCGGCACAGCGATAGAATAATTAAGATAAATAAATTACGATGAGCGTGGATTAACGAGCGCAGGGGACGTGCAGGAGGAGGGCGGAGATGTTGGGTGGGTGCGGAGGGTAGGGGAAATAACTTGGGGTACTGCTGGGAATCCCGAATGAGAGAGGAAATATTAAGTTAACTTATTTGATGTCGGTCCTTTGAGACAAGGATGATAACAAGTAGGCACTGGAATGGAGATTAGAAAATGTAATTAACAACAAGTTACGGGACTGAGCTAACGTGCAGCCCAATCGACGCTAAATTCCTGGCACACGCGGCCCACTAGAGATGTCTCAATTTTCAGAATCAGAATCTTCGTGTGGACATGTACGACGCTCTTTTTCACAGACGTCCAATCCAGTGACTTTATATATATATAAAAATTACACGTTTCACCGTAACATATTCTTGGTTCTTTCAGTAAAGTCACGTGACTTTACCGAAAGAACCAAGAATATGAATCCCTGCAGTCACGAAAGCTTTAAATCAAAATTCACCGTAGCATGTTGGGCAAATCAGCACGAGTGGATTTTGAAATAGCGCTTAGTTTCGGCAAACCTGTGGACTGGTTTTGACTTTTTAAGTGTGGCTTGTAAAAAGCGACGCCAATATTGTAATGTTTTTCGTCTTTTTTCCACAATTCTCTCTAGATTATGTATATCGGCACCAAGTCGTGAGAATAATTCCATTCCGGTCTCTCATGTTAGAGAAGGGCCCCGCAGAAGCGGGAATCACAGAACTCACTATCAGATACCTTCAAGCCATACACGAGGGGAGGCAGCACTTTCCCACCTGCCCTGCCTGTGAGAGCAATGTTTGCGACGGTGGGCGAGTTGTTAACTACCTCGCCTGGGATACTGGAGGTCGTGGGTTAAATCACAACCCTGACGCCTTCTGTATACAGTAAAACCTTGGATTGCGAGTAACTTGATCTTGCGAGTGTTTTGCAAGACGAGCAAAATTTTTAATTCAATATTAATTTGATAAACGAGCGAGGTCTTGCAATACGTGTAGTGTACGTATACGCTGTCTGCCGAGCATCACGCGATCACAACTGATATACGAGTGCTTCGATATACGAGTGCTTTGGATTAAAAACACGTTTCCGGAACGAATTATGCTCGCAATCCAAGGTTTTACTGTATTTGGAGTTGTCTCCTCGTGGCCGCGTGGATTTTTCTCCGGATCCTCCGGTTTTTCCCTCCACATTTAGAATGAATGTGCGTTTAGAGTATTTGGCTGCTTTACATGTCCAGATGATGAGCTGCTTTGTTGAGCGATAATTTATGGCCAGGCCTCTTCTGAAAAACAGCCATTTAGCTCAGTGGGCCTTACCCGGTAAAATGTAAGTAGTTTAGTTTAAGTTTAGTTCATTTGTCTTTCTCGGAGTGGGAATTTTGCAAGATTAAAAAAAAATTGTGTTAGTTCGGCCTCAACTTGACAGACGGTGGCAGCTGCTCAGCGCCAACCTTTTAAATCCATTACCGATCAGCGGCGCTGACCCAAAAAGCTCCGGTCCTATCGCCGCAGCAGTAGCATGGCTGTAAAGACCACCGTCTTCTCCTGTGATTGGGGGGGGGGGGGGCAGTGGCGGAGGTGGCGTCGCTGCTTGTCTGCTTGTGCCAGCACACCGTTAAGCCTCTTACGCACAGCTTAAAACGTATGCATCGCGCCACACCTCCCCACGGCCCCCTCCTACCCTCCCCGGCTTTGTAATAACAATAAAAGCATGACCGCTGAAGGGTATTATTTATTTGCACGTTACTTATTTCCTGCGGGACGGACGATAATCACCCGACGCTCTGTGTTGGCGCTCTTTTGAACGGGAAGAGGTTGTGGGTTTGAACGGCCGATCGGGGCCTCGACTCAGCTCAATGCCCTTCAAGAGTGAACGCCGTTCCAAGCCAGCAAAGCCAGTCTATTATTAAGACAGCCTCGGGTTTGTTGTTTCAGGAGTCGGCCGCGCAGAGAATTGCTCGCGCGGAAACACACACGTACACAAACGTGGACGCGTGTCTTGGGCGTGCGCTCAGGCACACAGGTGGGGTAGCGGGGGGGGCCCCACACATAAAGGGTTCAGATAATCATCACTGCATTGGTCGTGAGCGGGAATCGAACTCAGGTAGGCTGGGTTCGTTGCGCGTCGCGTTAAAACGCTGCGCCACCGCTCCACACGCACAAATGCGCACAACAAAAACGATAACCGCCATTCGCCAAACCAAGTGCCGGTGACATCACCACGGCGCTTGTGCCAGGCTATGTGCACTTTTAAGGCCACGTGAAGTGTCGAACGCCCGCTGCCAGGAGGTCACGGGAAAGACCCAGTTGCCAATGCATGCACACAATGGCAAAAATCCCCCCCCCCCCCCCGTACAGCCTTAACAGACTGTTGGGGAAAGTGTTGTTGGCGAAAACTTATGAAGGCCGGCATGGCACACAAGGGGGTGGGTGGCCAGCAGCACGCCCGACCGCCTTTGTCTCACCAGTGGTGATGTTTACACATCTCACCAGCTACTCATTTGAGGCCGAGTCGTCGCTGGTGTCGGCTTGGAGTGACAATCGAGCTGGGGCCTGCCAGGTTCGCAGCGCAGCACACTAACCACTACACCACCGCTCCCTGCAGACAAACAAAGACGCACATACGCGCGTCCGCACGGCGCACCCACCGTGCAGCACCGCGACGGGAGGGCGCGTGTTGTCGGTGTGCGCGCTCAGGCACTGCTGGTAGGGGGCCAGGGCTGAGGAGGAGGCGGCCGACGTGGGGCCGCCGCCGCTGCCGCCCCCCCGCGCCGCCACCGCCGCCGACACCAGCACCTCCTCCAGCTCGCGCCACTGCACCGCCGCTTCGCGGTCGTGCTCCTGGTCCAGCGAGATGTGAGTCGCCGCCTGCATCTCGCCTGCCGCGCCGGGACAACGGGGAGAGGCGAGGGGGGGAGGTGAGGGGTTTGGAGTGGGGGGGGGGGGGGGGTCACGCTGACCGTCGATCGATTAGCAGTCAGCCGGGCGTACGGGCCCGTCAACCGCGTGCCGCAGCAGTCGCCGCAACCGCCACGGTGCGCTGCCAGTGTCAAGAACGGGAAAGGTGCAGGCCCGGCAATCGCCTGCTCGTGCCACATCTGGGCCTCTGCGACAAAGGAGCCGTGCCGCGCGCAGCGCGGCGACGCCACGGAGGCCTCACCCTGCGCGGGTTTGTGGTCGTGGCCGAGGAAGAGACGTGTGGCGGCGCTGTCGACGTACGGCAGGGGCAGCTGCGGGAGCGGGTCCTCCGGTCCGGCGCCGCTCACGTGCTGGGCACGCGTAAACACACGGCGGCACAACGCCGCGCCACGTCTCGCTTGAGGACACGAAATGCATGGGCGTACGTGGGTTGAACTTCTTTTGCGTCGTGCGTAGCTAACCGTGGCAATCGGAGGTGCGGGGGGAAGGACAACAGACTAAATACAAAAGCACGCGGAGCGTAAATTTTTTGTGATGCTTCACGCACATCACGGTATTAACCAGGGCGACCATTGGGCTCAAACCATGAACCTCTGCAACTCCCCGCTTTGGCCACATCACCCCCCCAGTTATGTCACAGCGCAATAATAACACATATTCTTAGTTTTTTCGGTAAAGTCACGATGAAGAGAAACAACAAAATAATAAAATAATAAAATATATATAAAATATATATTTTATTATTTTGAATTACTGCAGTCACGAAAGCTTTAAATCAAAATAATAACACAGTTACACAAACGGCAAAAAAAATATCGGCTTATGATGTTACACAATGCGTTATGTCAGCGTGAAATACAACAACTCTAATGCAACACGGAGCAAACCAAAGACCAGATTGCTTCTTATACTAAGTGACGTCACGGTGCAATACGATGTACACACGTACATATACAGGACATATACACGGCTCGCACACACGAGGAGCAAGAGTGTGACCTTGGGTAGAAATGCGAGCGAATAGACGGAGGGGGCGGTGCGTATTCTTAGGGGCCATCCATTTAGTACGTACGCATGGAGTGGGGGTTAACCCAAATGCGTACTCTTGCGTATTGGGGGTCTACTGACAATGTACGCACGCATAGGAAACGGGGGGTGAAGCCTCGATAATAATTTGTCTACAATGACCTTAAAATGAGCCACATTTCAGTATCTTCAGCTGTCCGACAACAAGTACAACCGGAAGAAGTAGGACTGTGGGAGGTGTCACTCGTATGACACCGTACCCCTGACTGCGAGCTATCACGCAGCTCGGCAAAATAAGTGGCCAAGGTACGCAACTTAATGCAGCCGGCAGTGGATTACCTGTTTTCTTAAGCACGTCAATATTATTAATCCTTGATCGTTTCTGCATTGATTAAATATCGACCGTTCTATAGGATTCGGGGGGGGGGGGGGGGGGTGTCAAGCGTACGTACGCAGGTGGGGGGAGGGGTCAAGTTTTGACAGATGTTTGCGTACGCACTAAATGGATGACCCCTTACAAGAGGTTGGCATTGTGTCATCCGAGAAAAAAAGCGTTTCGGTTTCATTCCGCTTTGTTGTCCCCCCCCCCCCCCCGGCGGTTTTTTCGCCGCGCGACATTGAATTTCTTCCTGAACGGCCCCCCCCCCCCCCGAGCTCGAGAGCGGCGTTTGCGCAACGCGGACGGAACGCCGTCACCGCGAGGCGCCCGCACACGCCGACCATTGCGTAATACGCCGAGGCACCGTGGACGCGACGATGGGCGGCAAGGGGCTGGATCACGAAGGGGCCCGCCGCCAGGCCGATGAATAAAAGACATAATCCGTACACGTGGGGGCTTGATCGTGGGCAGGCGGAGTCGCCCCCTGGTGGGGAGAGGTCTAACGTGCCTACAGCAGTATGGGTATGTGAAGCGAGGTGCAAATGATTGCCTGGCGGCCCTCTGATTGGTGTAGACCCACTGCGTTGGCATTTCCTTCTCCTACATTGACATTAGCTGCCTCGCCCATGCTGCTGACACATTTGGGCCACGCCCATCTCTAAACCTTTATAAACAGTCTGCCTTTAGAGGCTAACCCCCCTTTTCCTGACGACGACCGCTTGTGTTGCGATGGAAACGTCATGGTTTATTTACTTACATATATTTTATATTTAAATTACTGAAAGAACCAACAATAAGTCTACATTATAGACTGCCAGTACACTCACTCCAATTAGAACCAGGCTACAGTCTACATGAGTGTTTTTTTGTTGTTTATTATTTGTTGTTCACTTTATTTATTATTATTTTTTCTATCTACGTGACTTAACGGAAAGCACCAAAGAATGTGCCTACAAATAATTCCTAGAAAACAGAGGTGGTCAGATGATACCGGGGAGCGATAATAATCGGAGAAATTCAGCCGATTTCACCGAGATGTATGGTGGACTTCTTCCGCACCGTACATAGCCAACCGCGCAAATCAGAGGTGTGGGGCAAGGACAGCTAGATCTAAACTGTGTTGATCTCAGAATCTCTCTCCCAAGTGTTTTCGGGGTTGGGCTGCGTGTTGCTCGGGCACGGCGTCCGACGTTTCGCTCCACGTGCTGGGGAGCTTTTTCAATTTCTGTTGTGTTTTCAATTCTGCTCACTGAAGAAGCTCCCAGGCACATGCAGCCAAACGTCGGACTTTGTACTGAACAGCCCAAAAACACGACGGACAGCTATACAGCACAACCGCGAACACCTGCGCAGAATAAACTCAGGAGTTTCTGGTTGTGAGCTGCCACTAAAACGACCCGTGCGCTACCTGACTACAATTATAATTATGTGTCGGTTCCCTCCTACAGATGGAATAGATGTACTGCCTTCTTCTGGTGAGCCAGGGGTACGGCAACCTTCTCGTCGCCCGTAGGAAGGGAGTTTCACAACATGTGTGTGATCCACCGACCCTTGTTGCTGCCTTCTCAGTGCTGTGCTACAGGCAGCCAAGTGCAGCGCACTCTGGATTACAGGTAGCCACGTGCAGCGCAGTTGCTTTATTACAGGTAGCATCGTTCAGCGCAGTGTTGGATTGCAGGCAGCCACGTGCAACGCAGTGCTGGATTGCAGGCAGCCACGTGCAGCGTACCTTGTACACGTATAGATACTCGCGCAGGAACGCAGCCTGCTGGATGGGCGACTGCCGGCTCTCATTGATGAGGATGTGGCGGAACGCCGACACGGAGTTGTCGAGCTGCCGCAGGGTGAAGGACTGCCGCCCGATGGTCAAATTGATGTGGTCCTCGGCCAGCGACCAGCCCTTGCCCTTGTAGACCTGCAGCGCTTGGCTGTAGCAGCGCAGGGAGTGCTTCCTCTGCGACGGAAGGGGGAAGGTGGTCAGCCACAGTGGCGAATTTACGGTTCGGTTATCGCTCCATTCACCACGTGCTCGCGAAATACCCGTTATATCCATGAACATGTCTTTGGCCCGTTTACAGCTTCTCATATTATTTTTTTGGGTGCTCAATAATTATTGTTAACGCTGCTGAAATTATGCACTCCCACAGTGCTTTTTTGATGGGATATGTCAAAAAAGATAAAAAAAAATTTAAACGGAGCGACAGATATATGAAGGCGGTGTATTTTCCGCCGAATGATTTGGTCATTTCTATCATGTACCCAAATGAGCTAAAGACTCCCCCCGTAAGCCTCCGGTAAATCCCGCGTCGTCCGTGTGGTTGTCTCCAATGCTCTGGATTACAGGCCCACGTGCGTAGCATCCACAGAGAGAACTAAATTGCACTATAAACTTTTTTTTATTTTACCAGGTAAGGCCCACTGGGCTATATAGTGGTTTTTCAGAAGCGGCCTGGCTATCACAAATTGTAACTCAACAAAGTGGCTTATCATCTGCAAATGTATAGCAGCCAAATACTCTAAAACCGGAGGACCTGGAGAAAAATCCACACAATCACATGGACAAAGACATGCAAACTCCAAATTTACAGGCTTCAGGGGTCGGGATCGAAACCACAACCTCCTCCATACCAGGCAAGGTAGTTAACATCTCCTAGCAACCGCGGCGAGAGATGAGAGAGGCTCACCTGACTGGCTTTGCTGTAGCGGTGTCCCGCCAAGATCATGTGGAAGGCAAACTTGCGCGCGAGCGGGACCCTCATGTTGATGAAGCAGTGAGCCGCCTGCTCCAGAAACAGGGCCGAGCGGAGGTCCGAGTCCTGGGCCACAAGATGCAGAGAGAGAGAGAGAAACCTCGGTTGCAAACGCGGCCTCCGCTGGCCTACGTGAAATACTGTAACCAAGAACAACAATATTAATCACGATCGTGACTTTCAATCGATGAATTGGCCTCGCCATAGCGCGTTCGCCGCTTGTTGCAGACTTTCACGGTTCGATGCTGGTGTGCTGCTATCTGCTTCACAGTGAAGTTCAATATATCCCGTAACGTCATACAAATACGGGTAGGCCCACCGCATGCTGGCGTCATGGTACGCCATGAACAAAAAATAAAAATAAACATTAACCTGAAAAACTGTTCCAATTTGTATTACACACAGCAGCAATTATCAGCCTCCACTGGCAGACTAATATGCCCAAGGTCATTCTTGCAAATAGGACAATTCCTGGTCTCTTCGAATTCTCAGTTGGTTAAACAAAAGTTAACTAAACCACCGCTCGTGGGTTTTCTCCAGGTTGTCCAGTTGCCTCACACACGCTGAACATTTAATTGATCCAAAATCCCATTCCAGGACCCTCCTGAAAACAGAACAAGCGTCGTAATAAATAAGAGTGGCATGAACACCAAATGTGTTCAAGTACGATTATTAACATCATCAATCAGCATCATGCTTCCAAGGGGAACTAGTATGGTAGGGTACAGCACTGATGCATCATCATCACAATTAGTCACAAAAGTTTTTTTTGGGTTAGATAGTGAAAATATAAATGTGTCGTTAAGCCGCCACCACCCGACACAGCTAATCGCCACCACCGCCATACGACCAACCCGCGCCACTAATTACTACTCACTCGTGCCCCCAAATACTACCAACACACGCTCCACAAAATACTACCCCCACCCTCGCCAACAAATATCCACCTGTGCCACCAAATATTACAGATCCACGCCATCAAATACTACCCACTCGTGCCAAAAAAATACTACCCACACGCACCACAAAATCCGACCCGCTCGTTCTCAACCTGAGCTGGAAAGCGTCCAAGAGATGCCAAGGAATGGGAGAGGTAGGTCGGTGTAGGGGGGGGGGGGCGACACAGATCTCTTCCCGCCATGGTGATGACGACGCGAACAGCGACGACCGTTACCTCGCTGATCAACCGAATGAGCATGGAGGCCGCGTCCGAGAACGTCCCCTTGCTCTTGAGGATCTCCACGGCGAGCATCGTGCAGCGCTCGGCCAGGGCTCCGTTCCTGGGGGGCAGGGGGAGGAGAAGGGGGAGGTACAAACGGTCAGGTGGCAAGGGACGCTACCGCCGTGTGACGGTCAGCACGCTGGACACGGGCAACCGCTGTGCGCAGCAAACGTGATCGGAGGCTAATACGGGGATATGTACAGGTAGTCCTCTACGTACGATGGAGATGCGTTACGACGGCCCCATCGTAAGTCAAAAATATCGTAAGTCGAAGAAGGCCTAGCCTACCCAGGAGTCTTAAAGAATGGTGATAATGTAGCTAAACAGAGCAATTTACAGTACCGTACTGTATAAACTATATACTGTATGTATTTATTAATTACAATACTGTATTGCACTTTAAAATGTAAAGTAAAAAAAAGGTAAATTCTTAGCCTACCTATATGAACTGCAATTTAATAGAAAGGCGGGAGATGCATACATCCCGGCAGCGTCCCAGCGTACAGTATCGTACCTCGTACGCTGCTGCGTTTGCCTGCCGCGCGAAATTTAAAATATTTTACAATTTTGTTGTATCGCTATTGCCATTGTAAGATCGAAATATCTTAAGTCGGATCATCTTAACTCGGGGACTATCTGTATGTACATATGGAACATTGGTCGTGAGTCTACGTATAAAATGAAACATTTAAATACCTTCGCAGCAGTATGATGATTAAAACATACTTCAATACTTCGGCAGTAGAAACATGCTAACCATGATGATGAAAGGGAACATGTTTCAAAACATCAATCCACCTGCAAGTTGATTGTGTGTGTATGTACAACTTTTTTCCGCACCGTAAGTAGCTAACCGCGCTAATCGGAGGTGCGGGGATAACGTCGTGGGCAGAAGGGAGCGCGGAAAAATCGATCGCCGGACGGTGGTTCAAACGCTCACGAGACTCTACGCTCTCCGGCTTTAGAAACCCACACTGAAAAACTCGGCGAAGTATGGTCGAGTAAGCCCCGACACGGCCAGCCACAATGTGGGAAAGACCTTGACCAGTGTCGCGCGTGTGACGGCCTTCCCAAGGCATGCGTGTTTCGTAGGGCTCACAAAAGGCCCTAAATCCAGCAGTGGATTGATAATGACGTGCTGTACATTTGCAAGCTGCCATGGGGAAGCTGCCATGGTCAAACGGCGAGCGCACTGGACCCGCAATCCAGAGGTCGCCGGTTCTAATCCATCTCCCTGGCACGGCAGTGGAAAACAGCAGTGCGAGTTTCTTAAATTCCCTCCGCCACCTCTGTCCACTCAAGCCGTATAAACGAGTTTACTGCGGTTGGTTTGCCTGATGGCAAGCCGTGCGTTGGGGGGAACGGTTGCCTATGCAACCCAAACTACGGATCATAGAGTAAATGACTGTAGTCTGTGCTCCTTCAGGAGAAAAATATAAAAACTACACAAACTCTTCTTTGGTTCTTTCGGTAAAGTCACGTAGAATGAGAATAAAATAATAAATTGATAAAATAAAATAACACAATAAAATTCTCACGACGTTTCAGCCACAACACAAGCGGCCTTCATCAGGTGAAGGGACGAGACTGTCTGGAGGCCGCTTGTGTTGTGGCCGAAACGTCGTGAGAATTTTATTGTGTTATTTTATTTTATCAATTTATTATTTTATTCTCATTCTACGTGACTTTACCGAAAGAACCAAAGAAGATGAATCCTTGCAGTGACGAAAGCTTTAAATCGATACACAAACCCTATCTCCTGAAGCCCTCTTATAGTGGCTGGTAGGCCTCGACTTTGGTATTTGGTAATGAACATATTGCAATGCTCAAGAATATAATCTATACTTCACCTGCAATTTCTTCGGTCTAAAAGCAAGGCAATTCAATGGTGTGACTCAAAGGTCAGAGACACTGAGCCTGCAAGCACCTCTTGTGTTCCTCTGGGATCGAATGCAGGTTTCAGTGACCCGTGAGAAAAAAATGGTTCTTAAGCGGAGTAGCTAAGTGCCCGATGAATGAAAATCTCACCGTTATCCTTCCTGGGACAAACATCCATGACGTTAAGCCAAGGTGAGTTATCGCAGTTGGAAGTGACATGGGCGAGAGCCAGATTCTATCTGCGTTTGTTGTGGCAGTGGCCGCGGGCTGACATTAATAAAACCTGAGTAATAAAACCTAAGAGGCCTTCAGATTCGGTGATTTACCATCGGCATTGGGTCGTGCCTTGATATTTGCCCATTACTTTTATTAGATTATCATTATTATTATGGCATCTTGCACCCTCAAGTAAACAAGAATGTTACGGATTTTTTTTTCTCTACCGGACTATCGTGCCAAATCAAATCACATTGAATTTGCAGGTTTTTTTCCTGCCCTAAAGTTATTATGATTAAGGTTGTCGTATTAACGGTGGGCGTGTTTATAAATCACACCCTGCTGTGCATGCAGCAGAATAACGTGCGGCAGAATTCCTTCTTTAATGCACAAACGGACGACGACCCATCAGATGGGGGGAGGCCTTCACCCAGCAGTGCATTAACAAAGGGCTGTACATTGTTACAAGCGTGTTTGAAAAAGCACGGTGCGCTAAACCGCTGTGCCACTGCTCCTCCCGGCACCCTGCACCACGTGACACTGCCCCACACCACGACGACCATCACCACGAGCACAACCGCAAACCACTCTCCGCACACCGACGTAAAGCACACGTCATGCAACAAGCGCATATGGGCAAACACGTGCACCGTCTCAACAGCACTACGTGTAGAAAAATATAAAATTTTGGGGGGTTAAGGAGGAGAGTTAAGAGGGTCGGAGAGAGGAGGAGGCGGCAAGGAAAGCAATGGTCAGCACACTGGACTATCAGACTGGAGGTCGACGGTATTGATGCCATCTCCCCGCCGCCTCTGTCCACCTAGCTGTATAAATGTGTCTAATCGCAGCGAGTCGATCGGCAGGTCGCATGCGGCGGTGGGGTAAAGTGTGGGTACTCCCAGCTCTTCCGAGAAGTATAGCGAGCGGAGAAAAGTAGGCTGAAATACCCCCTAAAAGGGTTCTTTAGAGCGCCCAATTGTAAAGGAACTTCTGTCACAGCAGGGACGAGCAAGTCATTTCAGGCCCGCACTTTTACCCTTTTTGAAGAAACCTTTTTAAGTCATCAGCCAGGTAAAGGTGGCCCACACGTTAGGCATTAGCACCGAAACCTTGCCACATTTCCAGTGACAGAGAATATTACCGGAGAAAATATTAAACATCATACAGTTGACGGCGGCATTATAACGTTCACTGGGAATGACCTACAGAAAATGTCAGGATAAGTGAATCAAGACTGCTGCAAAGTTGGGCTCAGGTAATTAGATTTAGGAGCCAAAACAAAGGACACGTACAACAAAAGTTCACCGCACAGTTGGAGGCAGCCGCAAAAGGGGCACAACAGCTGGAAAACACGGTCGACTCTTGTTACCTAGGACGGCTATTATAGGTGGACAATAGGAGTTTGGGGTGCTTTTGGGAAGCTGAACTTGGATATGAAAAGCAATGTACCAATGTGCCCAAAGAGGAGAGCTTTTAATCACGAGCCACCTGTATCTGGCTCAGGCACCAGCAAGCAAGGCCAGATGTGAAGGTATTGGATCGTTCATTGTGTGCGACATCACTCGGCATACTGCGAGGACACCGCGTCGTCACCTACACATGGTGGCGTGCGATGTCAGCGGCACGGCCCGGCTTCCGCTGTGGAAAAACAATGAGTTTGGGGAGCCGCTCGTATTCCCCCACGCTGGGCCTAGCAGGCTTGATGCTCACTCCCCAGCAATATTGCGTGCTGAGAACAATAGAAATTTATTTAGAAAACTTCTCAAAATCGTATAATTTCAACCCACCTTGCAATTCTTAAACTCAGAATTAATAATGTGCTGCAAGAAGGCTTCTCCCAAGACGTGCCGTGCCGTACCGGCTCGGCACAGCTTGGTAGCGCAGTGGAAAAAGGGGGTACACGGTTAACCCAGGGCACGCACACGGGCGTTGCTTCACCTGCAGTTGTCTTTGTAGGTCTGGATGGCCTTCTCCATGTAGTGCGCCGGGTACTGCCTCTGTGCGCTGGGCTGCAGGAACACCGACAGCGCCGCCATCTCCTGCGGGGGAGAGAGGGGGCCGGTTAACGGGTGGCGGCGTACGTTGGTGCGTGCGGGCGCCGGAACGTTCCTCCGGAGAATAAAAGCGGCGCTCGCAGCGGTCTGGCGGAACGCCAGAGGCTCGCGAAAACACCGCAGCGGTCCACGGTTCCGCTCTGCCAATCCTCGCCGAGATTTCGAATGGAAAATTTGGTCGTTGCGCACTGCAATGAGCCTTTGCCACTTGGTGAGGAAGTCAACCGTGGTTTAGTTTATTTTGCATGTAAACCACAGGAAAACCAGGATGAGTCTCATTTGCAAGTGTGACTAGGGTCACCAAAAATCACAAAGCAAAATTAATAAAATGATAGGCAAATGTCATTATTTGATGGACAGTACGGTGGGGTGAAATTTGAAAACATTCTACGTTACATTGGACACGCACAACACACTTGCACGCATACACCCACAATATGTTAATTTGAACTACTAAAATGTCCATCACATGGGTCACACACGTAGGAAGATACAGATCCCAGAATAGCCTTTAACAGACTGATGGGGAAAGTGCTGTTAGTACCTACGAAGGTCTACACAGCACATGAGGGGGTGGGTGACCAACACCATGCCCAGCCGCCTTTGTCTCCCTCGTGCTTTGTTTCATGTCTACACACTGCACCTCCGATTAGCACGGCTGGCTACGTACGGTGCGAAAGAAGTTCAACATACATATATATACCTCACAAGGTACTTGTTTAAGGAAGAGTCGAACTCGGAGAGGCCCAGGACTAGTTCAGATAATCGTCACTGGTGTTGGCTTGTGAGCGAGAATTAGACTCCGCTCCCCAACAAATATACACACACACACAACCTATATTTGTATTAATACTCTGCATAATATTGGACACGCATGTAGACACAAGGCCTAGAATTTGTATCAGTACTCTCTAAAATGACGCGGACCAAACGTTTTCAGAGAAACAGGAGCACTCCGTTAATTGAATGAGTGCTCTGTATGGCATGCTGTACACGCACACATAAGATATCTATCTTAATTTTAATTAACGCTCTACATCACATGGGACACACACACACACACAAGACTTTTGCCAATTTCAATCAGCTTTCACTATCCAACGTGGGACACGCACGTGCATACATATACACACACACAAGCCCTATATCTTAATTTGAATCGGTACTTCCCGAAGTCATGTGGGAAGGACACAAAAGCAAGTGATGTTAATTTAATAAAATCAGCCCTCTCTAAGGTCCGTACACGCATACATACACATCACCCATCTATTTTAATCAGCACGAACACATATCACATGCAACAATCGATTAGACACGCAGATAATCCTAATTTAAATTTGCACTCTCTGCATCACACGGGACACACTAAGACCCCCCCCACCCCCGTATTAGCCTCTTTAAGCTGTCGGGGCAAGTGCTGTTAGCGAGCGCCTAATTAAGGCTGGCACAGCACATGATGTGGTGGGTGGAAAACACCACACTCGGCCGCCTTTGTCTCCCCAGTGACGATGTATATACACACAACGCACCAGCTACTCATATGAGGCTGAGACGAGCTAGGAGGGAGCCAGGAACCGGTTTCAGATAATCGTCAACGGTGTTGGTCATGAGTGGAGTGCCCTAACCGAGGTCTCCTGGAAATAAAATGTGGCGGGGGGGAAAAAAAAGTCAACGTACCAGTGCTCCGGCCATGTAGAGCCACGCCTGCTCTCCCTCAAAGTCCTTCTTGGCCGTGTGATAGCAGTTGTATGCCAGGTCGTACAGCTGCACCAGGAAGCACAGGTCTGCCATCTTCCGCACCTGAAGTTCAGGAGCCTCTGCTGTGTACCTGCACATACGTACGCACACGTAAACTAAACTTTAAGCTTTTTTTTTTGTTTTACCAGGTAAAGGCCAGGGTTGTATAGCTCTTTTTTTCGGAAGCGACCTGGCTATCACAAATGATAGCTCAACGAAGTGGCTTGTCACATGGAAAGTTATAGCAGCCAAATACTCTAAACGCATGCTTCTAAAACCAGGAATTCTGAGAAAAATCCACGCGACCACGGGGAGAACATGCAAACTCCAAATATATAGGCATCAGGGTCGGAATCCATCCCACGACCTACATACCAGGCGAGGTAGTTAACATCTCGCCACTGCGTTACCCCAGCTGAAGAATAAAGACAAAGGCCCCCTCGTGTAGCCTACACACACTGTGGGGACAAGTGCTGTTAGTGAGCACTTATAAAGGTCAGCACGGCGCACAAACAGGCTGGTGTGACCAGAATCACACTTTGCGACCTTTGTCTTCTGAGCGCCGATTATAACACACCAGCACCGGAAACTCAGTGAAGAGTTTGTCGACCCAAGGGAGGTCCAAGACCGGATGAGAGAGATGCAACTGATGTTAGCCGTGGCCGGGAAGTGTAAATAAGCGTAGGAGCGGTGAGCGCAGTCAGAAGCAAGTTGCACTATGAATCTGGTGGTCCGAGTGCGATCCACGGACATTGCTAACAAAGTTGGCGGGTGATATTTTGACAGAGAGAAGGTTTATTATACAAAGTGAGAACTTGAGCCTGTAGGGGCTTGTTTACCAGGTCGGGTTGTGACCATCAATTAAACATAATAAAGGTTTATTATGAATATTGGTCGCGAAAGCCTACGTGTTAAACTGACCATCAATTAAACTCCACAAAAGCTTTCACGACCACAGTTAGGATTCATAATTGGTTTCCGATTGGTTATATTGCGTCAATATGTTTTTAACGCTAACCCTACACGATCCGACGAAGCCAATCAAATCAAGTTGTCACATGGGCGAATATTGTGTTAGCGGGGCACAGAAGCCCTTGGGGGAGTGGTTGGGTGGGGGTGTGGGAGGGGGTTGTGGGAAGGAGGGTGGGTGGTAGGGTGGTTAGGGTGGGAGAGCGGTGGGTGGGTGGGAGGGTGTGTGGATGGATGGGTGGGACAGCTCTGCTCACAGGAGGCCCGTGGTGTTCTTGCTCTCTGCCACGGCTCTCTCGGGGGTCTTGGCACCGCCAAACCACTTCTTGGTGGCGCTGAAGAGCGAGCGGCTCAGTCCCTTTCGCGACACCAGCTGTCGTGCGCACGCACACAGGCAAACGTGCAGACATTCATGATAGGCTGTTGGGGAAACTGTTGTTCGAGAACACCTATGAAAGGGCAGTACGGCGCACGAGACGGTGGTATGGCCAGAACCGCGCCTGGCCAACTTTGTCTTCCTAGTGGCGATGTTTACACACCGCACCGGGCAGAGCCATCCCTAGGGGTACGTCGAATCTGGGCGACCGCCTCGAGTCCCGCGCTTTAGCATCACCCCGCGCTTCGACGTCATGGTGTCATCAGGCGTCATGCTTCCCGTTTAGTTTGAAGGCATCTGGGTGCGATTTTCCCCAGGCCCCACACCCTGCTATGGACGGCCCTTGCACCAGGCAAATACGAGAGGCCGAGTCAACCCACACGGACGACACAGCTGACCCGCAACGCCGGCGGTCACTTTACCTGGTCGTTGAGCTGCCGGATGCTCCTCTCCACGTGCGGTAGGAGTCCCTGCACCGTGAACTCGTGCACAAATTGCCGGATGCGCTCGTGATCGGCCAGCGTCAGACACAGGCCCCGGGGTCCTGCGGTTTGCGGGCCCCCCCCACCGCCGCCGCTGCCGCCACCACCGCAGCCCCCCACGGCCGCCGTGGGCAAGGGGGGTGGCCCCCCAACGCCGAGGGCGCTGCGGGGGTCGGCGGGGTGCGGCTGCGAGTTGCCCACGTCGGCGGGCGCCGGCGCCCAGCCCGCCTCGTCGGCCTGTGTCGACGACGACGGCGGGGGCTGCTGCAGGGGGTGCGCCTGCAGGTCGCAGCCCTGCCCAGCGCCATCTGTCGGCGGCGCAAAAACGATGGTCAGGTGGCGAATGCGACGTGGCCAACCGCGTACAAGGCCCTTTCGTCAAATCTGCTGCTGGATGAGGGCCTCCTTCCCGGTTTGTCGCTGCACGAGTCACGTCTGACGTTATTTGATCGCACGCGACCGCATTGGTCGGCGCTGGCTGCTGCTATGTATACACCGAGTTCACTTCTTTCGTTGGGCCACGGCTTGTAGGGCTACTCCAAAATCCTTGGGAGGGCCACATGTGGGCCACATGTGGGCCACAGGCCACCAGATGCAGCACCCTGGTATTGTAACCGTACTAAAGAGGTTTTGGTTCTCGTAAAAACTGCGCGTGCGAGAAATTCCAGCTCGGGTGCACTACGCTGGGTTGAACTCGGCCAGGGGTCGGCGACCTGCGGCTCTTTAAGGTCGGCATCGTAACGTTATTTATTGAGGGCCACCGTCTCGTTTCAACCACTTGCATTGCGGCTCTTGAAATCTGGAGGTTTTTTTTTTACCGAATAAAAAAAAAAAGGGCTCGTCTTGTTATTTGGCTTTGCCAAACCCTGTGCTAAGCTGGATTAAGCTGATGTAGTAAACTGGGGTATGGCTGGAAGGAGGGAGGGGGGGGAGGGGGGCACGGCATGGGGGGTGGGGCGGCACCGTGATCAGCGGTCAGGGCGGCCACCATGACCTCGTCCTCTCCTTCCGTAAAGCTGAACACCGTCGTGCCTCCACCGTCCAGCAACCTCTGTGGCACCAGCAGCGGGAAATGCAGCATCAGCAACAGGCAACGGCAGCGGCAACAGCAGCCGACACAGCAACAAGTTAGCCATGGCCAGGAAGATCGGCATCAGGAACAGCAGGAGATAACAGCAGCAGCTCAATCAACAGCAACAGCAGAGTGAATTTATTATCGGCTCTGATAGAGCGGCCATGACGGGATACGGTGCAGAAAATTTCACACATTACATGCTGGTACCGCACAGTTCAGGCTGATGCAGAGACTGGGGCGGGTACCGCGTAGTGCAGGCTGGTGCAGCGGTTCAAGTACTGGCTCCAGGGGTCGGGTATCTGCTCCTCCCCATCGCGACTGGGCTGCCTGGAGTTTATCTTGAGCAGGTGGCACGCTTGAGAGCCGTACAGTTGCTTCATGCTCTCGTACACAGACTCCGCTCTGGCACAGAGACACAGACAACCACACAAGTGACAATCCATCATCATCGCCATCACAATACCTCGCTGATCTCGTCAAGGAGAGTAAACCATCACGCGAACTCCGGTCATCCTCGCAGCGGCTTTGGGTTAACCATCGAATAAAGACCGTCACCGCATTGCGCGATTTCAGGTGCGCTTCTGCGGCCATCTGGAACGCTCTTCCGTCCGTTATTACGAAGCCACTCGAGCTTTTAAATCTAGATTTAAAACCAATTTCTTTTTAACTGCTTTTTGTGTTCAGTTTGTTGTCGTTCCCCCGCACCTACGATAAGCGCGGTTGGCTACAAACAGTGCGAAAGAAGCTCAACGTAACTTGACAACCCACTGTTAGATTACAGCCTCCATCAAGCCGTTACCGTCCCTCACAGTCCATGCGTTTCAACATCGCGATGCGGGCAACGCTCACGCAAAAGTAGGTAAAAGGTGCAGAGAAAGGAAGACGGTTGGCAAGTTTGGCCTTGCAGCGAGGCGTGAGAGAGGTGTCTGCAAGCGTTTGGAGGCAGAAAAGGTATTAAAGCAATGAATATCTTTTAGAAAAAGAAATGAATAGCTTTAATACATCCCAACCCCTATCACTATCACTACCCCATATCACTCCAACAAACCCATATCACTATCCCTATCCCTATCAATACCCCAACCCCTATTACTACCCCAACCCCTATCACTACTCCTATCGCTACCCCTCCCACTACCCCAACCCCTCCTTAACCTCTCCCACATATTCTCCCGTCACCATACCTACACCACCACTGCTTATCTCAACCAGTCACCTCACGTACAATGTAATAATTGTCATAAAGCGCCTTGGAATATGGCACGATATAAATCTTGGTAACATAAGATCACGCCCGAGCAATCACGCGGGTGCTCGTCCACACGGGAGGGACAGCGCGAATGCGCGAGCGACCTCGAGTGCTCGGCGAGAGAGTGTTCGCGAGTGATCGGATAAGCGCTCTTTCGCACGGGAGGGAGAGCGCGAGTGCGCGAGTGATCTCGAGTGCTCGGAGAGAGAGTGTTCGCGAGTGATCGGATAAGCGCTCTTTCGCACGGGAGGGACAGCGCGACTGCGCGAGCGATCTCGAGTGCTCGGCGAGAGAGTGTTCGCGAGTGATCGGATAAGCGCTCTTTCGCACGGGAGGGAGAGCGCGAGTGCGCGAGTGATCTCGAGTGCTCGGAGAGAGAGTGTTCGCGAGTGATCGGATAAGCGCTCTTTCGCACGGGAGGGACAGCGCGAATGCGCGAGCGATCTCGAGTGCTCGGCGAGAGAGTGTTCGCGAGTGATCGGATAAGCGCTCTTTCGCACGGGAGGGAGAGCGCGAGTGCGCGAGTGATCTCGAGTGCTCGGAGAGAGAGTGTTCGCGAGTGATCGGATAAGCGCTCTTTCGCACGGGAGGGAGAGCGCGCGTGCGCGAGCGATCTCGAGTGCTCGGAGAGAGAGTGTTCGCGAGTGATCGGATAAGCGCTCTTTCGCACGGGAGGGAGAGCGCGAGTGCGCGAGTGATCTCGAGTGCTCGGAGAGAGAGTGTTCGCGAGTGATCGGATAAGCGCTCTTTCGCACGGGAGGGACAGCGCGAATGCGCGAGCGATCTCGAGTGCTCGGCGAGAGAGTGTTCGCGAGTGATCGGATAAGCGCTCTTTCGCACGGGAGGGAGAGCGCGAGTGCGCGAGTGATCTCGAGTGCTCGGAGAGAGAGTGTTCGCGAGTGATCGGATAAGCGCTCTTTCGCACGGGAGGGAGAGCGCGCGTGCGCGAGCGATCTCGAGTGCTCGGAGAGAGAGTGTTCGCGAGCGATCACAGGCGAGCGACCGGGCGAGTGCTCGTACCTACGCTCGTCCCCCGTCGCCATGTCGTGCACGAGCACGTAGTACTTGAGCGTGTTGGGCGACAGCCACTTGGGCTGCGCGTAGTCCCCGCTGTGCTGCACGCGGTGCTGGTCCTGGGACAGCCGCCCAAACATGTCCATGGGGTCGGCGTGAGACGAAGACACCACCAGCATGCCTGGGCGCCGGCAGCAAGGTCAAGGGGTGGCTGCGGTCATCGTTACGGCATCGTCATTACCACAATCTGGGTTGCTGCGAGCGTCGCTCCTCCGCCGTCCATTGTTGTCGGTAGAGGGCAATGCCCTCCAATTAGAAGCAGCAGCAGCAATGGGCCGCAGGGTGGTGGCACAGTGGTGACACTCGTGACTTGCAGCAATAGCCGCCTGAGTTTGATTCCCTATCCGGGCTCCCTTTATGTGTGGAGTTTTGTATGCTCTCCCCCTGTTCTGTAGTGAGCGAGTAAGTGTCAGTGGAGTTTGTACGTTCTCTGCCCCTTTCCTGCATGGATTTCCTGTGGGCTCTCCAGTTCCGTCGCCATAGCAAAAAAAAAAACAATGTTTATTCTTTTTACATTAAATGCATAAAAATCATTAAGCAGTTAAATTTCGATTTAAAGCTTTCGTGACTGCAAGGATTCATCTTCTTTGGTTCTTTCGGTAAAGTCACGTAGAATGAGAATAAAATAATAAATTGATAAAACAAAATAACACAATAATATTCTCACGACGTTTCAACACACCTGAAGATGACCGTTTGAGTTATGGTCGAAACGTCGTGAGAATTGTTTTATTGTTTTATATATATTTTATTATTTTGTTGTTTCTCTTCAACGTGACTTTACCGAAAAAAACTAAGAATATGAATTACTGCAGTCACGAAAGCTTTAAATCAAAATTTAGGTTAAAGGTTATGAAAATAATTGCCCAAACAAATCAGCAGTAACTGATGTTATCCAAACATCCCAAAGCAGAAAAATTACCTGTAAATTACCAAAGTAGTGGGATCACAACAAACAGTGGCAACACTGACCACTGACTGCAAAATATTTTGCAGGACCACTCCTGCGTAAAAACAAGCATACTAATAGTAATAATGATTAAAAAAAAACACTAAGCTTGAAAGAGTCACCAATCAATCAACTGTTTATTTGTTACGTGGAAAGTCCCACTGAGCCAGTGGTGCATTAGCACAGAGCAAGGTCAAAGTGTTGCGCACATATGAACAGGCAACACGGGACGTGCGGCCGAAAAAGTGCTTTAACGAACCAACAATGAAAAACGTTAACAAGATTTTTTTAAAAACGGGAGTTATACGACGCTATCGCTGCGTGGCCGTCGCACGGCGGGGGAGGGTGGGAGGATACAGGCCAGGTAGTGGCGCAGGAACTCGTGGTCGCTCACGGGCAGCACCTGCATGAAGCTCTCACGGTACGCTTCGTACCAGGGCGTCGTCGCTGTGAACACACGATCAGAAATGCGCACAACAACAACCGCCATTCGCCACTAAGCTTGTGCCAGGCTATGTGCACGTTAGGGCCACGTGAAGTGTCGAAGGCCCGCTGGCAGGAGGTCACGGGACGGACTCGGGTGCCATGGGTTGAATGACTGAGATGACTGGTCGATGCACCACCTGTGCCCCCTACTGTGCCAAACGCACACACACGCGCACGTGCACGCAGGGACCGCGCGGTCAAACTTCATCGTTGTAAATCAGCAGCGTTTGATCATCAAGAGCAGCATCATCATCATGCTTGCTTTTTGATATCGTCGAGAAGCATAAACCATCACGCGAACTCTGGTCACCCATCAAGCAGCGGCTTCTGGGTAGCCATCGAACAAAGACGGTCACCGCGTGGCACGCTTTAAGATGCGTGGCCGTCTGCAATGCTCTTCCGACCGATATTAGGAAGTTACTGGAGCTACGGTATTGCACTTTTAAAATTAAGATTTAAAACTAATTTCATTCTAAATTATTTTTGTTTTTAGTTTGTTGTCCTTCCCCCACACCTCCGATTAGCAGGGTTGGCTACGTTGGTGCAAAATAAGTTCAACATACATACTGTACCTACATGACGATCTCACTCAAAAGAAAACAATTATGAATGGGAGATAACGTCATGAATATAAAGGCGAGGCGCAGTTGCAAAAACACGAACTTCAGTCGGGATACACGGCTCCTGGCCGACAGATTGGCACACAATCGTCCAGGTGAAATGTGGAGGGCATTAAAACATGAAAACTACTTGGCGGGCAAAGGGTGAGCAGGCAGCTAAGCAGGTAGATAAACAGGCAGCAATAAACCTCGCCACTTTACGACACTGCCACTGCCCCCTTGACGAGATACAAATAAATAGTACGTGATGAAAATTCGTCACCAATTTTGGCCATGAGCGGGAATCACACTCGGGTCGGCAGGTTTGTAACGCATCACGTCAAACAGTTGCGCCACCGCTCCAACAACAACCGTCATTCACCAATAAGTGGCAGTGACGTTACCACGGTACTTGTATCAGGCTACATGCACTTTAAGGCCACGTAAAGTGTCGAACGCCCGCTGGTAGGTCACGTGACAGACCCAGGTGCCATGGGTTGACGGACTGAGATGACTGGCCTCCGCACCCCACGCACACAGACAAGACAAAGATCCCCTGTATAGCCTGTACTAGACTGTTGGGGCAAGTGCTGTTAGCGAGCACCTATGAAGGCCGGCACAGCACACGAGTGGGTGGGTGGCCAGCAACACGCCTTCCCAGTGGCGATGTTTACACGTCGCACCAGGTACTCATTTGAGGCTGAGTCGACCAAGGGGAGGCCCAGGACCGGTTCAGATAATCGTCACCGGTGTTGGCCGTGAGCGGGAATCGAACTCGGGTCGCCGGGTTCGCGCTAACCGCGACACTACCGCTCCCCACACACACACAAACACGAGTACGCATGCACGCGTCTCACCGCTGATGTTGAGGTCATAGTCCCCGGCAGATAGCAGGTTGCCCACGGGACCGTCGGCGGCGTGGCTCGCCGACACCACGTCGCTCAGCATCTTCCGTGCCGCCGTCGGCGCCGGGGCCCGCGTCTCCAGCCGCGACACGGACACACGCAGGCCGCGCATCGCGTGCAGCTGGTTGTTGGGGTCGCGCAGGTGAACTGCGACACACGGGCACGTGCATATACATGTATATACGCGTGAACGAACGAAGAACAACAAACAACGGCCACTACTGGCCACTAAGTGGCGGTGACGTCACCATGGCGTGCCAGGCTACGTGCACCTTGAGGCAAACGTGAAGCGTTGAAGGCTCGCTGGCAGTAGGCAATGGAACAGACCCTCAGGTACCATGGGTTGACTGACTGAGATGACTGGCAGATGCGCCAACTGTGCTCTCCATTCTGCCAACTTGCTTTATTTTAGCCACCCGGTGCTCCGCTCGTTGTTGTGAGCATCGCTCCTCCACCCTCCATTGTTGTTGGAGGGCTAGTGCCCGCAACTACCCAGTAGCGTCATTCATAAGCCTCCTCCACAGACCTCGATCTTGATACCGCTGGGACAAGTCATTAAGAAGTCCAATCAGCTCCACATACATCAGCCTATCTCCTGCCCATTTAGCCCCCTCTATCTGGCCGGGCAAAGGCTACTTGGGAATGCAGCGGATGGACATGCGGGATACGTGACCCAGTCAACAAGTGTCGTCTGCTGTAGGAGCTCGCTGATGGGACTATGTCCAGCGCTTTCAAGGATCTGTGAGCTCCTCAAACAATCCAGTCTGGTTAAATCCAGGATGGATTGTAGACAGCCCAGCATGAATATTTAAAACAGGCGCAGATGTTACTTTAAAACAGTCCGTGTTTTGCTCGTGTTAACTGTGGCAGAAAAGACCTGAAGCTGCATAAGGAGAAACAGGCCAGGCAGCTTCCACAGATTGTTATGCAGCTGATGAAAATATAGTCCCGCTAGGCTGATTTGAAGCGAGACCTCCACTGCCAAACCGGAGCTGGCCTTAAGCACACGATCCTTCTACGGAAACTTCTCCATTTTCTCAAAAACTGCCTCATCACACATGCAAAGTTGAGAGGGTGGAGTATTTGATGGCATACAATACTAACGTAGGTGCTTTGTTTTCATGGGGCTCATGATAAGGCCCCATCTCGAGTGGCATGCTCCATGTTCAGCAGCAGCGCCTCCAACTCTTACCCTGAGTGAGCAGCATTTACCAGATCACCCGCATATATAAATAACACGGATTACCAATAGGGAACCATCTCTTGACGACACCCGGTTATCGATCAGCCTCCCATTGTACCTCTACCAGATGGAAATTCCACACACACACACACGCGTAGAATTTCACAATGTTTTGAGCAGCAGAAGGCATTGTAGAAAAATCCATTGCTGTGTCAGAAGGTACTTCTATGCTTCCATGTTCCCAACCTTTACCAATCCGCACCTAACAGCGGTGAGGTATGGCCAAATAATCCTCCGACCCACATGGCATTGGGATGCCATCATCTGGCAGTAGACTGACAAAAGGGCAGAGCACGTACGTGCACTTGTTTTGCGTAAACCCTGCAGCCACTGAAGGGGCTAAACCCTCCGCAATGCTAAATGCATACAATCGATACATCGAAAAATCCATTCCCACCACTGACCCTCACTGATCCTTCCGGCTCAGCAGCGCTCGAATAACTATTTTACAGCACGGGCACTAATCAATGAGAAGCCCCACTCTGCTGCTGCGGAAATATTTTTCTCCACCGTCCTTTAGAGCGTCGAGCACTAAGTCAGCAACCAAGTGGTGGCCCGCACGCGTCACCGAGTGCCGTCAAGTGGCTGCACAGCCAAGGATTGGGGTCGACCTGCTTCCTTGTCCCGGATGACAGCCACGTCTAATTGTAATAAATAAATCCCCCTCCCCCCCAGGTTTAATCCTGACTGCGCTATCGATAGGTCAGGAGATGAAGAATCCATTTGGAACTCTCACAGAGCAGTGCAACCTCCTGCCACCCCCACCCCCCCACCCCCCGGCACAACTGCATGTTGGAGAGCGGCCCACAGAGGTGGATATCACGGAACTACCTCTCAATTTCCTTTCAAGTGACCTCTGGTCCACACGCCCCCCCACTCGCTCTGCCACTGAAAACGATGCTCGTCGCACGTCGGTCAAACCCAATATTTTTTCTTCTCCTTCGGGAATTTAATAAAATCAAGTGCGGAAGCAAATTTAATTCGAAAGGGGTTTTTTTTGTTCCCCCCGTGCAGTCATTCGTGGCTGGGCCCCAAAACCATTAACTCACTACACTTGACAGTACAATTTCATCACAGGCTCTTCCCAGGAATCAAAGCCAGAAGCTCAGCCTGACCTTCTGAGCCACCAGGCCACCTGCAGCAGTGTCCAGTTTTAAAGCAAATGCCTCCGCGACCAATCGCGACTCCCTTTGTGCCGACAAAAATAACAAACCAAGCACTCTTACACTTGGTGTGGGGAGGCCATCTGCAGCAATGAAGAGCAGCATGCAACTGTTAAGCCAATCGAATAAAAAAAGAAAGTGCTTATATTGCCAATTTCCAAATTAGCACTCCTGTCGTGACAGCGGTTTGTTAAGAGCGCACGTTGTGCTGAATGCAACGCGGTGCGTTAAACAGCTGCAACACAAACGCAGACGCGTGCGGCAGAGATCCAATATTTCCTACTAAAAAGCGCAGAGGGCAAAGTGCTGTTAGCGAGCATCAACTGCGCATGAGGGGGTGGTGTGGCCAGAAACCCACGCCCGGCCGCCTTTGTCTCCCCAGTGACGATGTTTACACATCGTACCACGTAGCCACTCGAGGCCGAGCCGATAATGCACACACATACGGTTGTACACACGCGCGCACACGCACACGTACGCGCTTGCGCTCATAAGACAAGCGGCCCTAACCCTCACCCTCGGACGTGAGGCGGCAGAACGGTCTGAGCAGCTCCGGGAAGCTCAGGTTGTTCTTGCGCGTCACGGCCTCGGCATCTGGGCTACACAGTGTCGCGATGCGCGGCACGAACACGTCCTGCAGGAACTCGGAGGCTCCTTGAGCGCACTGCGCCATGGTGCCTCACTCTCCTGCTCGCTCGTCTTCCTTGGCTTTGTTAGAGATGTCTCCTCGATACGGTTGTCCAAGAGCTTGTCTCTGGGGTGCTGTAGACCAAATGTTTGGGCTGAAATTACAGCAAAAAAAACACAAACCATTTGTTAGCTTCTCACAAAGTGATGGTACTAAATTTATCCACCCTGGATAGATGATTATGCCGATTGGCAGTGGTGTAGTGGTGCAATTATAAGCGCAATGCACTAAGAACCCAGCAGAGTTTGATTCCCTGCTTTGATTAACATCAGTGGCAAGTGCAATATTATTTATTATAATTGGTCCGTATGGATTGTGTATGGTCTTCTGGGTCTCTCCTTTTAAGAAGTTTTGTGTGTGGGGGGGGGGAAAAAACTAAATATCTGAAGAAAACAGTGAGCCTCACCGACTTGTACTGCCATCTCCTGGCCGCTTCACATCTCATTTCTATGAAAGGTTAAGTGATAAGAAAACAATGCATTGCATGAGAGCGGTAGAGTTTTGTTTAACGCACTGCGATACAAACCCAGCAACCAGAGTTCGATATCCGCTCACGACCAATAATAGTGGCGAATATTTGAACTGGTCCTGGACCTCCCCTAGGTTGACTCAGCCTTGAGTACCTGGTGCGGTGTGTAAACAATCAGCACTTGGGATATAAAGGCACTGCGCGTGGTGTTGGCCACCTCGACCCCTTGTGTGCCAGGCCAGCCTTCATGGGTGATCCAGCAGTCTGTTAAAGCCTGTATGGCGGAATCTTTAGTCTTTTAACATGATGATGACATTTCGTGGCAAACGGCAGCTGTTGTTGTTGTTGTTGCTGCATGTGCGATGACTTGGTATGATGACGACATTGTAGGAAGCCAGCAGGAGGAAGTCAAATGTGGGCTCAGCCATTCTCCATCATCCTAAAATTAGTACAACTTTGTGGCAAACCAAGTGTTTGTCATATGGATTCAAACCTTACATAAATAGGCACATGCAAAGTCTTTGTCAATTCACTGCTGGATGAGGGCTTCCCCCATGCCACGCTGCACCAGCGGGTTATTTGATTAAACCCCACCGCACTTAAATCTTGACTTAAAGCGTTCTTGACTGCAGGAATTAATATTCTTGGGTCTTTCGGTAAAGTCACGTAGATAGGTTCAAAGAAAGGGTGAGGAGCATAGTAGGCACGGGAGCATAGAAGCACAGTACAGTAGTACGCTTATGGATTTAGCTTCACTGCCCTCTGCCGTCCACCACGTAGCCCTGCATCATACCTGTCAACCCATACGGTTTACCCAGATTCCTGTACAGGGAAAGTGAGTTTTCAGATCCATCCGGCGTAGACCCGTTTCAATACGAGCAACAAATGTGTTATGTTTATTTGTTTGTTTCTCCTTTGTGATGGGACTTTGTGGGATGAACGTTGAGATGTATAAGGGCACGGGGTGACCAATAAGGTTTGAATTGGTCTGTAATAAGGTTTTGACAAGTATGCCTGATGCCTTGAGTAACTTGTCAATTTACAAGTCGTGGCTCTGGGATCTTCAACAGGGGTGGGTAATGTACCGTGCTGTGCAAGACGTCAACAGCGGATGACCTTTGCCATTAAAATGTGGAATTTCCATCACCTCCTCTGGGCTTCATACTCTTTGGTTTTTTCGGTAAAGTCACGTAGGTAAAAAATTTATAAAATAAAATCAATGAGAACAACTAAATTAAGTCACAACGTTTCGGGCACAATGCAAGCGCCCTTCTTCAGGTGGGGGCAACGTGAAGGACGCTTGTATTGCGCCCGATTTAATTTGGTTTTTTCATTTATTTTTTACCCTACGTGACTTTACCGAAAAAACCAAAGAGTATGAATCATTGCAGTCATGAAAGCTTCAAATCTAGAACTCCTCTGGGCTGTTACAAGGTTGAGTGGGGAATGAAATCACTTTCTAATTTGACTATCAACGTTAAAGTACTTTTGTGAGGACCACGTTTAAATCGCCAAGAGAAGCACTCCATCTCGACAGACCTCTGAAGCCAAGCTGGTTTATCCTGGACAGTTCACACCAGGTCACACTTCAGGCCGCCGCTGGGCTAAATTGTGGGCAGCAGAGGGCAGTGCGTAGACATTGCATTGTTATACTGCACCTCTATTGACCCACCCTCACCAACCGCATTGGCCAGCGGTGGTAAAGCACGTGTTGTATTTTTAATGCCATTGTAATTAGACACTGGCGAGTGGGCGATACGGCGTAAGTCGTGGAGATGATTCGCCGGTATGTGTTAATCCGGCCCGCCGAACTTGTCCAAATATTATTATTAAATTAAATTCTACCTTTCTCCTGTAATGCCCCCCATTTCCCCATTAGATGGCGCACTTTGACGGGGAGTTACGACATGTTTTTGTATTGTTCATGTTGGTGCAATTTGTTAAATTGCCTTTGCAAATAAATGCTTTGCTACCTGTTAAAGGCCAAACAAATCCTTTCATGTAATGATTTTTTACGTGTCATTTATATTTAGTTCACACAAACACTCCATCCATCTGTTCCTGGCCCGGCCCCTCTGTCAAATTTTAGAACCCATTGTGGCCCGCGAGTCAAAAAATTTGCCCACCCCTGGTTTACAGCCAGTCCACTATCCCACGTCAACACTGGCACCCATCATCCCTTTACAAAGCGCAACTGTAGAACCATCATGAAGATTGGTCAGTGCTGGCTGGAGAAGGTGACACACCATCCATGCGGGAGCACTCTAGGTTTTTAATCGACTATATACTTCACCACGCTATACATTCACCACCACTATTACCACCACCACCACAATCATCACACATCATCAACATCGCAAACCACTTACACTGTCCCATTAAAAAATCTCAATGGCTATTGTCATCGCCACAACCATCACGACCCACATTATTCAGGTTTCGTAGAGCGCGTCCGTCAATCTACTGCTGGATGAGGGCCTCTCCGCGAGGTTGTTGGACAATACTTCAACCAGTGCCATCACAACTATCGCCACATCACCATCACAATCACACGCACAGTCGTCACTCACTACCATCATCACCACCACCACCACCAACAAAAATCACCATCACCGCCAAGCCACCCCACTATCAACACAATTATCACCACATCACCATAATCATCATCACCACCACCACAGGGCCTTTACCTCAGCCCCGCTGGCGCGCGCGTCGCCCGGCTCCACTGCTTGACGACCACGGCCGCCGCGATGCGCGTGCAGAGTTCGCCTCCGAGTGAAAGCGGCGCCTCAGGGGGCTTCTCTTCCCCTCGCACTCCGCCGCCGCCGCCTCCTCCGCCTGCCGCCGCCGCCGCTGCCTGGCGCGCCGCTACCGCTTCCTCTGCGTCCCGCAGTGCAACGCGGCCGCCATCACCCCCACGGCCCCGCCCCTCAGCCCCTGTGGCAAAGCCCCGCCCCTCATTAAAACCCCGCCCACCAACCCCTATCTCGTTGCCCCACCTCGTGGCTCCTCCCCCCACCTCCTGGCCCCGCCCTTCCCCATTTCGTGGCCCCCTCCACCCGGGCAATGCAACACGGCGGATTTAAAGCCCCCAACCGCCCCCCGCATGACCACGCCCCGCGGTTATTAGGCCACGCCCGATCGCCATTGGGCTACGCCCCTTTAAGCCCCTGCCCCCCCATTCCCAGCAAATATTGCAGCCTAACTCCCACAATGCAACACAAGAAGCCGGGGTCGTTCCCCGAGCTGGCCGCACCCCTGCCACACCGCCCCGACATTCCTGACCACGCCTCCAAAATTTAACTATGACCACGCCTTCTTCATTAGCTATGACCACGCCTCCCTCCTGAGCTATAACCACGCCTCCCTCACTGTCGTGAGCACGCCCATTATTAAACCTTCTCGCAACCCGCCAATCACCATGGTGGAAATCCTGCGCTCCACGTGACGCGCGAGCGGAAGCGGTCGAGTCGGTCACGTGATCACCACATTCGCCCGATCACGTGGTGGTGCGTGGTCGCCCATCCAGCAGTGGATCGATCGTGGCCGATTATTATGATGTGGTGACTCAATACAATAGAGGTGATGATTCACGAGTCAATTTATTACATCCCCCTGATTCATTAAATGAGATTGATCCTCATGGTGCGCCGCAGTGCTATGGGTGTATGGAGGGAGCGGTGGTGCAGTGGTTAGCGCACTGCACTCTAAACCCCAGCATGTTTTGAGTTTTTTGAGACCCAGTCACGGCTAACATCAGTGGCCAATGATGTCTGAATCGATCGTGAACACCGGCCCTACTACATTCACCAGATCGTAGTGGTCGACGTGGTGTGAAGTATGGTCAAATGTTCCCTGTGACCAAAATCTGAATATACCGGAGGAACATTTGCAAGAGGCAACCTCTGACAAATTCTGATTAAAGCCACACCATTGTTTCAACTGATACGGGATGAGAGATGGAATGAACCTCTGGGTTGCAAGTCCAACCATTACACCACGGCGACATGTGAAAAAGAGCTTTATAGCTCATTGGATTCTTCCAGTATAAATATTCTGATTCTGATATAGGGACTCTTCTACTTATGAACGAGTTAGGTTCCAGGTGTCTGTTCGTTGATTTGTTCTTAGGTCCAACTTTACTCCTGTCGATTCCAAACATCTTGTACGGCATGTACACTTAACACGGGGAATGACTTTTAAAGTTGTATATTCATCTCCTTTAGATGTAGATTCCACTGGTTCTTCAGGTTCTGCAGATGTAGATGCCACCACCGCCATCTATTTGAGTGGCGTTCGAACTTACGACTCTCGGTCCGAACAGGCAACTGGACATACGGACAGGTGTGTTTGTATCTCTGAAAGTTTCTTAAGTCGAATGTTCGTAAGCGGAAGAGTCCCTTACCTATGGATATGATAAATTGTCCCACATGTCCAAGGATAGTGGGCGGGGGCTGTGATCACTGGGTGGGGCCAAACATAAAAATGTTAAGCGATTCCACTGCGTGAGCGGGGCTAGTGGGCGTGGTTATGTAAAAGTAGGCGGGGCTGAGACGGGGGGGGAGGGGCATCCCCGTGTGTCCTGGTTGAGCCTCCCATTAATTTGGTGGCTCTACCAATATTATCCACCACGGGCGAATAGACACGAATAAAACATCGAAGCCTGTACTCACGTCAGTATGCAATGAACCGCGACGTTTACGATTTATTTTAATTAAAATCGAATGTTACCCTTCTTAAAACCAGCATTCAACCAGACCGAAAAAAAACATGCAGTAAAAATAGAAAAGAATGTATCGATTTTTGACTTAATACGTCGATTCTTACACGCACGATTCCAAGCCTCTCTCGCGAGCTTCAGAATCGATATCAAGCAATAAAATCAATCAATTGCATCAGTCCATACTCAACAATACCCAGTGTTTCACCACGATACAATACGATATCAATGTCCGTTATATGACTGTTATCGCGATATCAGACTCCCGTAACTTTACAATTGCGTTTAGAATTTCCGTAAATTATTTTTTTCTTTGTTGTACAGTACTTGTGGGAGAATATTGTCCACTGCGACAAGTTTTCAAACCATTCCAACTTCATAACAAATTCCATTCATGACATTCAGATATGCATTTATTCAATTTACTTATCAGCGATTGTCATTTCTTAAATATTTAGTCTGAGATAAAACATTAAACGTTCAAAGAAATCAAATTAGTTGTATAAAACGGGCGAGAAGGTTACAGTGGGCCTTTTATTGTGCTATACTAAACTAAACCCATTTTTTTTTATTTTACCAGGTAAGGCCCACTGAGCTATATAGCTCATTTTCAGAAGCAACCTGGCCACAACTGATAGCTCAACGAAGTGGCTTCTCATCACGTGGAAGTTTCTAGCAGCCAAATACTCTAAATGCGTGATGTTAAATCGAAAATGTGGAGGGGAAAATCGGAGGACTCGAATAATAAAAAACGCAACCACGGGGAGAGAGAGAGAGAACACGCAAATTCTAAATACAGGATGCTTAAAAAAATGTTAACTTGAAACAACACCACACGAAATGTGCTGCTGCCTCCAGGCTCTTAGAGACCACCTGGAGAAGATTCCAGGAACGTGTTTACAACGATGGCGAACAAGTGGAGACTCGTTTACTTTTTGAAGCTATTAACATTACATTTGTTATCATGTTACAGTGTATTATCCATTCTTTTGCCATTAAAAACGATAGTACCATGTGAGTGTTAACATTTTTTGAAGCACCCTGTATACAGGCGTCGGGGTCAGGATCGAACCCACGACCTCCTGTATACCAAGCGAGGTAGTTAACATCTCCTCGCCACCGTGGTATCCCCTTAGATTGTGGAATCACAGAAACACTCGTGGTCACCCATGCAGGTGCTATCCAGGTTCAATCCTGCTTACACTTCCGAAATCTGTCAAGATCGGGTGCAGAAATTATTTGTATTCTATGCTATTTTGGATTTATATAAGCCGCCGGAGGGAGGTAACGGAATGAATGAAAGGAACAGGGGCTGGGAATGGAGCTGGTGTTGCCGGGGTAGGTAAGGCAGAATTATTCATAATAAAGGCAGAATTAGGTGGAATGTGATGTTTTTTGGCCAATACCAGTTACATTTTGCCAGGTTTTTTTGTTGTTGTATTACGAGGTGAGGAAACAGGCAGAACCCGGAGGAAATCCATGCAGAACAGGGGAAGAGCGAAGACATTTTTAGACAAAACATCATTTCCAGGAATGTTCCGTCTCCATTTCTGGAGTAAATAACAATCCCCCCCAAAAAAATCTTCCCACTGCGGTCAATTTAACGAATTTTGGCAAAACAACACTGGGGATCCACCGCTACACGCAAGGCACACAACAACGGACAACGGACAACGTCCACGGATGACGTCTCAATGGAGTTAATGTTGCCAGCACTTTCAAAGCAGGCTGCGCTGAGCTTTATAATAGAAACTGTGCACTGTTCCTTGGGTGTCCGGCTGGAAAAACTTGATAACCCACGAATATATAAGCGATAAAACCTTTAACACCTGGCACCACCACCACCACAGCACGGGAAGGTGAGTCGAGTCGAGGATGCAATGTACGGGGAGAGAGAGAGAGGAGCGGGAGAGGAGGACCCCGCGGTCCAGACAGGAGGGCTCAGTGGTCTAGAAGAAAGGACTCGACGAGCCCGACAAGAGGGCCCAGCGGTCCGGACGGGAGGGCACGGCGGTCCGGACAACATCGGGGCCATCCATTCCGCATGGAACTTTCACCTCCTGCTGCCGCGGAAAGGCTGCTGCTGCTGCTGCTGCCCGTGCCCGGTGGAGCCAATGGGCACGAAGGCGTGCTGGCGCCCATCGCCGACGCCGAGGCAGAGCTCGCGGTAATGCAGGCAGCAATCCTGGCACGTCACCTTCTGGCACGAGCGGCAGCTGAGGGCGCCGTTCGCGTCTCCGCAGAAGCCGCAGTGGCTCGTCGCAAGCGACGGTTTTGCCGGCACCGCCGCCGTCACCCCCTGTTGCTGCTGGTTCTTGATGCTGGACTCGGAGCGCCGCAGTTTTGGCGACGCGCCGTCGTCTGCTCCCGTGCACGCGTGCAACCGCTTGCACGACTCGCACAACGAGCACTGGCAGTAGCGGCACTTCTCCAGCGCGGTATCGGGGCACCGGTAGCAAACGTCGAACGTCGCGGCGCCAACATCGCCACGGCTCCTGCTGACGCCGCCGGCGCCGGAGTCCGACGAGACCATGGGGTTCGTGGCACGGCGTTGGTTGCCGCGCATGGACGCGCTCTGCTGCTGCTGCTGCTGCTGGTGGTGGTGGTGAGAGGGGGGCGCTGGTTGGCGTGCCGCCATCTCGGCCCCCGTCCCCGAAACGTTGGCGCCGGCCTGGATTCGACCGCGAAAGTCCGTGCGGTCGCTCGGCGAGCTGCTCATGCGCATGAGCGACGGCGTCGGCCGGAGGATGGTTTCGTCGCGGTCGGCCGCGCCGCCGCCGCCGCCGCCGCCGCCGCCGCCTCCACCGCCGTCGTCGTCGTCGTCGTTCTGCGCCAACGCGGCCGCGATGGCGGCGTCGTCGCGCTCCCACGAAGCGCGGTCGCCGCTGCTCAGCACCGCCGGCAGGATCTCCGGCGCTTCCGCGGCCTGCCCCGAAAACGCCGCTCCGAGGAAACTCAGTTCCCCGCCGTGGCCGCCGTCGCCGTAACCGTCGGCGGCGGCGGCGGCCGCTTTGCCGGCGTCGCCGTTCGCCGTCTCCGCGGTCGCCGCCGCCTGAGCGAGCGCGGCGACCTGCGCCTCCAGGCCGCCGCGCGTGCCGCGCCGGCGCTCGCGCACCACGTGGCCTAGCGGGAGGCGGAGGGCACCGGCGCGAGTCACCATCTCCTCCATGAGGCGGCACTCGGCGGCGGCGAGGAAGAGGTCGAAGGCGACGGCCAGGGCGACGTCGGGCTGGGAGCGGCCGCGCCGTTCGTAGGCGACGGCGGCGCCGGTGCTGTCGGCGCCGGCGTCGCCGCTCTCCGGCGGGCAGCGGTTGAAGCCGAGCAGCTGGAGGATGCGCTCGGTGTCGTCTTTGCGCAGGACGCCGCGAACCCAGTAGACGAATGGCCCAGAGTAGGCCTACGCGCGGAGAGGTGGACAGCGACGGAGACGTTAGTTTAGCCGGGGCTTAGGCGCCCACCGCTGCTGCGGAGTGTTCAGAGATGTTGCGTGCAGTTTGTACGAACATTCGACTTAGGAACTTTCATAGATACGAACCTGTCCGTTCCACCGCCGTGCAATAGATGGCGGTTGGTGGCATCTACATCTTTAGACCATGTAGAACCAGTGGCATCTACATCTACGGGAGATTATACAACTTTTAATGCCATTCCCCGGGTTCAGTGTACACGCCGTACAACTTGTTTTGAATGGACAGGGGTAAAGTTAGACTTGCGAACAAATCAAATTACGAACAGACCTCTGGAACCTAACTTGTTCGTGGTGCATGCGCTCCATGGACTCCTTTCTGTCACCACGCATTAAAGTTAAAGCATTAAATTACGATGACTGGTGGTCTCCGAACCCAAGTTTAGGCAACATTTTGTACGCGAGTACACGCGACTGAATCACAATTAGAATATTTATTTATGCTGGAGGAATCCGATGAGCTATGAAGCTCTTTTTCACAGATGTCCAGTCGGGGCGGGTTCAGAACGTGACAACAAACAGCGTAAAAACACGATAGGCGTGCAAAGTATAGGAAAGGTAAGCAAATCACTTCGAAAATAAATAAAACTCCTTTTTTTTTACCGAGCAATGCCCACTGAGCTATTGGCTTCTCTTTCAGAAGAGACCCAACCAGCTCAACGAAGCGGCTCATCACGTGGCAAGTTACAGCAGAAAAATGATCGAAATAATCGAAACTGGACTGGGGTCCCCCAACACAAAAACAAAGATCCCCCATAGAAGCATCAGCAGACTGTTGGGGCAAGTGCTGTTACCGAGCACCTATGAAGGCCGGCACGGCACACGAGGGAGTGGGTGGCCAACACCACGCCCGGCCGCCTTTGTCTCCCCAGTGACGACGGTTTACACACCGCACCAGGTACTCATTTGAGGCTGAGTCGACCGAGGGGAGGCTCAGGACCGGTTCAGATAATCGTCAAAATGTGTTGGCCGCGAGTGGGAATCGAACACGGGTCTCTTCTGGGTTCGTAGCGCAGCGCGCTAACCGCTACTGCACCCCGCGCAGCCCCGAATGAAGTCGTGGGCTGTACATGTAAAATGGCACAGGGTTCCGCTGTTTTTTTTTTCGCGAGGGATACGCTGCGGAGATGCTCGTTAATATCAAATTCGACCTCAAATAAATACATAAGCTATTAAATACGTGTATAGGAATGGATAGTAACACTGTGAGGGAAAAAAGTATTTGATGCCCTGCTGATTTTGTACGTTTGCCCACTGACAAAGAAATTATCAGTCTATAATTTTAATGGTAGGTTTATTTGAACAGTGAGAGACAGAATAACAACAAAAAAATTCAGAAAAACGCATGTCAAAAATGTTATAAATTGATTTGCATTTTAATGAAGGAAATAAGTATTTGACCCCTCTGCAAAACATGACTTAGTACGTGGTGGCAAACCCCTTTTTGGCAATCACAGAGGTCAGACGTTTCTTGTAGTTGGCCACCAGGTTTGCACACATCTTAGGAGGGATTTTGTCCCACTCCTCTTTGCAGATCTTCTCCAAGTCATTAAGGTTCCGAGGCTGACGTTTGGCAACTCGAACCTTCAGCTCCCTCCACAGATTTTCTATGGGATTAAGGTCTGGAGACTGGCTAGGCCACTCCAGGACCTTAATGTGCTTCTTCTTGAGCCACTCCTTTGTTGCCTTGGCCGTGTGTTTTGGGTCATTGTCATGCTGGAATACCCATCCACGACCCATTTTCAATGCCCTGGCTGAGGGAAGGAGGTTCTCACCCAAGATTTGACGGTACATGGCCCTGTCCATCGTCTCTTTGATGCAGTGAAGTTGTCCTGTCCCCTTAGCATAAAAACACTCCCAAAGCATGTTTCCACCTCCATGTTTGACGGTGGGGATGGTGTTCTTGGGGTCATAGGCAGCATTCCTCCTCCTCCAAACACGGCGAGTTGAGTTGATACCAAAGAGCCCCATTTTGGTCTCATCTGACCACAACACTTTCACCCAGTTGTCCTCTGAATCATTCAGATGTTCATTGGCAAACTTCAGACGGGCATGTATATGTGCTTTCTTGAGCAGGGGGACCTTGCGGGTGCTGCAGGATTCCAGTCCTTCACGGCGTAGTGTGTTACCAATTGTTTTCTTGGTGACTATGGTCCCAGCTGCCTTAAGATCATTGACAAGATCCTCCCGTGTAGTTCTGGGCTGATTCCTCACCGTTCTCATGATCATTGCAACTCCATGAGGTGAGATCTTGCATGGGGCCCCAGGCCGAGGGAGATTGACAGTTCTTTTGTGTTTCTTCCACTTGCGAATAATCGCACCAACTGTTGTCACTTTCTCACCAAGCTGCTTGACAATGGTCTTGTAGCCCATTCCAGCCTTGTGTAGGTCTACAATCTTGTCCCTGACATCCTTGGAGAGCTCTTTGGTCTTGGCCATGGTGGAGAGTGATGGAATCTGATTGATTGCTTCTGTGGACAGGTGTTTTTTTACAGGTAACAAGCTGAGATTAGGAACACTCTCTTTAAGAGTGTGCTCCTAATCTCAGCTCGTTACCTGTATAAAAGACACCTGGGAGCCAGAAATCTTTCTGATTAAGAGGGGGTCAAATACTTATTTCCCTCATTAAAATGCAAATCAATTTATAACATTTTTGACATGCTTTTTCTGGATTTTGTTGTTGTTATTCTGTCTCTCACTGTTCAAATAAACCTACCATTAAAATTATAGACTGATCATTTCTTGGTCAGTGGGCAAACGTACAAAATCAGCAGGGGATCAAATACTTTTTCCCTCACTGTAGCTCTCTAAAACCATTGATTAAAATATATAGTGAAGACGGATGAACATTAAAGTATTAAATGATGATACGTAAATAAGCTATTAAATACATGTATAGTAATAAAAAAAAATATTGATTATAAACATTAAAGTAAATATTAAAGTATTAAATGATAATTCTTACATTCTCTGTCATTACTTTATCTCATCACATTCTCTCTCATCACTTTATCCCATCACATTCTCGCTCATCACTTTATTTCATCACTTTATTTCTCACTCTCGATGCAGATAGGCAAAAATCGCGGATAGCCAAGTTCATGAATAACGAAGTGAACACTGGGCACGCGCGTAAAACGATTTATGGGGTTCACCGATTGGACGACCGATGCCATGAGGCACCGGGGTAACATCGACTGGAGTTGTGTGGTTCGGGGGATCGGGTTGATTTATGTGTGAGTGTCACTGTCAGTGTTTCCTGTGATGCCGTTCTGATCTCTATCTGGCTGTCTCTCCCTGATCTCTATCTGTCTGTCACTCCCTGATCTCTACCTGTCTGTCTCTGCCCTGATCTCTATCTGGCTGTCGGTGCCCTGATCTCTATCTGACTGTCTCTACCCTGATCTCTATCTGACTGTATCTGTTCTGATCTCTATCTGTCTGTCTATACTCTGATCTCTATCTGACTGTCTCTGCTCTGATCTCTATCTGGCTGTCTCTACCCTGATCTCTATCTGGCTGTCTCTGCCCTGATCTCTATCTGGCTGTCGGTGCCCTGATCTCTATCTGACTTTCTCTATCCTGATCTCTATCTGACTGTCTCTCCCTGATCTCTATCTGTCTGTCTCTGCCCTGATCTCTGTCTGTCTCTGCTCTGATCTCTATCTGGCTGTCTCTGCCCTGATCTCTATCTGACTGTCTCTGCCCTGATCTCTCTCTGGCTGTATCTACCTGATCTCTATCTGGCTGTCTCTGCCCTGATCTCTATCTGGCTGTCTCTGCCCTGATCTCTATCTGTCTGTCTCTGCCCTGATGTCTATCTGGCTGTCTCTGCCCTGATCTCTATCTGGCTGTCTCTGCTCTGATCTCTATCTGGCTGTCTCTCCCTGATCTCTCTCTGGCTGTCTCTGCTCTGATCTCTATCTGTCTGTCTCTGCCCTGATCTCTATTTGTCTGTCTCTGCCCTGATCTCTATATGGCTGTCTCTGCTCTGATTTCTACATCCTTCATTGTTGTACTTCGTCACTCCTGCAAATAGTGGCATCTCGAGTTCTGGCCTGGTTACAATAAACATCGACTTGAGACGAACGCTGCAATGTCATTGCTGCTGCTGCTGTTTTGGTAAAAACCCCGTCGCCGTGACACCAGTTCAGGTTTTAGATTACATTTTCCCTCCACTTTCACTTAAAAGCACACGATGGTGCCTCTAAAAGATGCCCATTTCCATTTTACAGCCCAGAACCAGCAGCGGAAATCCCTCCCCCCCAGTCTATGGCAAGATGTTAACTACGTCGCTTGGTATACAGAACGTTGTGGATACTATTCCGACCCTGACACCTGCTGTATATTTGGAGTTTGCATATCTCTCTCCCCGTGGTGGCATGAATTTTTCTGCGGGTCCTCTGGTTTTCCCCTCTACATTAATAATCGACATCACGCGTTGAGAGTATTTGGCTGCTATAACTTTCTACGTGGTGGTAAGCTCACTTTGTTGAGCTATCATTTGTGGCCAGGTCACTTCTGAAAAAGAGCTACATAGCTCAGTGGGACTTGCCTGGTCAAATAAAAAAAATAGTTGATGTTGAACTTCTGTCGCACCGTGCGTAGCCAACCGCGTGGTAATAGCAGGGGACGAGTTAGTTTACCCATCGGGCAACCATCGCCAATCACGTGACTTCTCCCCAACAAGCGGTTCTCGTTTAATCGACCACGGAACGACGACGACGACGATGGGCCGAGTCGATCCCCACCACCCCCACCCTCCCCGGCGCAATCAGAAGTCGAACTCGCCGAGACAGCCACCGCGCGGGCGGGAGGCGAGCATCGTGGCTGTCGCCTGTTTGTTTGTTCGTTTGTTTTCACTCGCTTGTGGGCGCGGCGCGCGGCTCCAAACGACGAGCGTCTCGGCGCTACCGGGAGGAGGTTCGTCACGCCATGGGTAGGGGGGGCGGAAGGCCGAGGTGGAGGGGGGGGGAGGAGCTGCGTGTGTCGGGTGAGAAGGGGGGAGAAAAAACACGTCGAGAATTTGCGTGCATGTCATTAAAATCGTCCCAGGGACCTGTCTCTGCGTCTCTCCGTCTGTTAGTCTCTGCGCGTCTGCGTCTCTCCATCTCTGCGTCTCTCCGTCTCTCCATCTGTCCGTCTCTCCATCTGTCCGTCTGTGCGTGTCTGCATCTGTGCGTCTCTCCGTCTCTGCGTCTGTCCATCTGTCCGTGTCTGCGTCTCTCCGTCTCTCCATTTCTGCATCTCTGTGTCTCTCCGTCTCTGTGTCTGTGTCTCTGCGTCTCTGTGTCTCTGCGTCTCTCCATATATGCGTCTTTCCATCTGTGTCTCTCCGTCTCTGTGTCTCTCTGTCTCTGCATCTCTGTGTCTGTCCGTCACTGCGTCTCTGCGTCTGTGCGTGTCTGTGTCTCTCCGTCTCTGCGTGTCTCTGTCTCTGCATCTCTGTGTCTGTCCGTCACTGCGTCTCTGCGTCTGTGCGTGTCTGTGTCTCTCCGTCTCTGCGTGTCTCTGTCTCTGCATCTCTGTGTCTGTCCGTCACTGCGTCTCTGCGTCTGTGCGTGTCTGTGTCTCTCCGTCTCTGCGTCTCTCCGCGGCTCTACGACAAACCTGGAAAGTTTCTCGGCAGCGGCTCAGGATCCTCTTGTTTAATTCACGTAAGCCGTCTATAAGCTGTCTCTCTCAAACGGTTCCCATCACCACCACCACCCCCCCGCCCCCCGGGCGTCTGAAGGAAGTGTTCATGTTAATCTCCACCATTCCCCCGGTCCCCCGGCTCCTCGGAACGCTTACCCGCCAAAATGACGACGATGCTGCCTCCTCCTCCTCCTCCTCCGTTGGGACGCCCGCCTGCCCGCCTGCCCGCATCCGCGCGTGTGCCCGCCCGCGCGTGGCATTTGGACAATTTGAAGCTGCGTCTCGTTTGCCGCAAGATCCCGACATTAATTCAATCTCGTAATTCCGGAGGGTGAAAACCTTATTAGATTTGCCGTCTTTCAGTCAAGTGCGTGCGTTTTTGTTGTTGACACCGCTGAATAATATTACTGGGTTTTTTTTCTTTCCCCAAGCCGGTGTGTACACACACACACACACGCGTGCGTGCGCGAGTGCATACGTGAGTAAGTGCACGTATGAGTGCGTGTGTCCACGCTTGTGTGTGAGTACGTGTGTGGTGGGGAGCGATGGTGTAGCGGTTAGCGCACTGCGCTATGAACCCGGCGACACGGGTTCGATTCCCGCTCACGGCCAACACCAGTGACGATTATCTGAACAGGTCCCGGGCCTCCCCTAGGTCGACTCAGCCTCAAACGAGTACCTGGTGCGGTGTGGTAAACATCGCCACGAGGAAGACAAAGGCGGCCGGGCGTGGTGCTGGCCACCCACCCCCTCGTGTACCGTTCTGGCTTTCATAGGTGCTCGCTAACAGCACTTACCCCAACAGTCTGTTCAGGCTATATGTGAGTGTGTGTGCGTGCATGTGTGAGTGCGTGAGTGCGTGCGTGTGAACGTGCGTGCGTATGTGCGTGCGTGTTGGATGCAGTGGTTAGTGCATTGCACTACGCAGCGGAAGCCCTGGGTTCGATTCCCGCTCACGGCCAACATTGGTGACGATTATGAACTGATCCTGGGCCTCCCCAAGGTCGACTCAGCCTTAAATAAGTACCTGGTGCAGTCTGGTAAACATCATCACTCGGGAGATAAAAGCAGCCAAGCGTGGGTCCGGCCACACCACCCCCTTGCGCACTCTCTTGGCCTTAATAGGTGCTCACAGACAGCATTTCCCACCACAGTTTATCTGGGCTACTGGGAGGTTCTTTGCACTACAGTGAACGTGATTGTTTTAATTCTCAGAGCTGAACTTTTTGCCAATTAAAGAAGAAGACGTGAAAAGCCCATTTTAAACGGGATGTTTTATTTTTGTGCAATAATCTGTTCACTTGAGAAGCCCGGGTTCAATGGCAACTCAGTCTGTCCGAGTCTGTGGATCTCTATGCGAGTCCGCGGGTCACTATTCGCGTCTCTCTGCATCCGTGCAAGTCTGTGGGTCTCTGTGTCAGCCGTTGGTGACTTGTCTGAGACAATCGATCTACCACAACTCGAGAACCCTGTTCAATCACCGGTGACCAAGACCCGGATTTGAACCCAGGCCGTGGACGTTTGCCGTCCCGGCATCTCTGACCTCCGAGCCACCCGGCCTCCACTGCTTAACGAACATTTTTTTATTGGACCAGAATACCCGGTAGCGTATTACGTTAAAGGGTGCGCGTGGTTTTCCCTACACGTGCCGGCGTCTCGTCAAGAGAGCCGTTCGGTGGCGGTGGCTACGCCGCTGCACGTGGCTGCCCGTAACCCGGCACCGCCATGGAGACAGGCAGCGGGGGTTGGTGGATCACGCGCGGACGTGCTGCGAAACTTGCTTCCCCTGGGGCGTACGGGGGGAATAGAGCGTTTCCCTCTCTCGCGCAAGGCGTGGGTGGCTCCCGCTCGTATGATGAGCACCACTCATCGTTAATCAGCTGGAAACACCTTGAGATAGAACCCCAATGCAGTGGCGGGACCCTCCAGAAAAAAGGAAAGAGTGACTCTCTCCTGCATAAACAAGCAATTTAATTGAAAATAGGTAAAGGCAATGACCCCCCCATGTAGCCTTTAACAGACAGTTAGGGCAAGCGCTGTTAGCGAGTAACACCTATGAATGAACGCACTGTGCCACACGAGGCGGTGGGTGGCCAGCACCATGCCCGGCTGCCTTTGTCTCCCCCAGTGGCGATGTTTAAACCACCGCACCAAGTCCTCATTTGAGTCCGAGTCTACCTAGGGGAGCAGCTTCGATAATCGTCACTCGTGTTGGCTGCCGCGAGCTGGAATAGAACCCCGGGGGTTGCCGGATTCGTAGTGGCGGTGCGTTAGCCGCTGCACCGCCGCTCCCCACACAAAGCCAAAGATCCCCCGTGTGTAGCCTTGACAGGCTGTTGGGGCAAGAGCTGTCCGCCATGGACACACAGAGGAATGTCGCGTGATGAGAAACCCACACTTAAAACGAAAACTATTTTTTTATTTTACACCGGGTAAGTCCCACTGAGCTCTGTGGCTCTTTATCAGAAGCGACCCGGCCACACAAATGATGGCTCAACGAAGCGGCTTATCACGACGTGGAGACTTACAGCAAGCCAAACACTCTGAAATGCACGTCAACCGTAAATGCGGCGGGGGAAAAACCGGAGGACCCGGAGAAAAATCCACGCGACCACGGGAAGAGAGAGAAAAAGAGAGACACGCAAACTCCAAATACACAGCAGCAGCAGGCGTCAGGGGTCGGGCATCAAACTCACGACCTCCTGCACACCGGGCGAGGCAGTCAACATCTCCTCGCCACCGCGGCGGCCCCGATCGGGCCTCCGTGGCGGCGCAGCAACCGAAACACCGGCAAGCACGCTCCAAAATACACGGCGGGGGGCCATCGTTAAGCGCCGGGGGGGGGGGGGGGTCGGTGCCCCCACGCTCACCCCACCCCCGCACGCGACTCACCTTGATCTGCCGAAACTCCTTCTTCCAGGGGTAGAGGAACACGTGGAGGCTCACCGCCTCGAACCAGCCGAGGCAGCGGGCGATCGCGCCCAGCCCGGGAGGGCCCGGCCGGCGCTGCGAGCCCTCGACGAGGCGGTAGACGTCCACGCGGCCGAACGTCGGGCCGGAGCCGCCGGAGCCGCCGGGGCCGCCGGAGCCGCCGGGGCCGCCGGGGCCGCCGGCGTGCTCCGGCGAGGCCAGCAGGGCCTGCGCGTCCCGCCGGAGGTCGGCGGCGTCGCCCGGCGGCCGCCGACCGCGGCTGCCCGGCGCCGAGAGGCGCGCCTCGTGGAAGCGGGCGTAGCTCTGGAAGAGGAGGTCGCGCCGCACCGCCGCCGCCGCCGCCGCGGAGCTGGAGCTGGAGCTGGAGCTGCCGGCGACGGCGGCGGCGGCGGTGCCGCCGCCGCGCGGGGCCATGGCGCGGGTGGCGGCTGCGCACGGTCGCAAGCGGAGAGGGGGCGGGCGGTGGAGATGGAGTAAAAGCGTTGTTGTTGTTTTTCTTGGCACCCGGAGGAATCCGATGAGAGCCAGGAATCTCTTTTTTGTTTTTGTTTACAGACGCACTTTTTACACAGACGCACTTTTTACACAGACGCGCATTTTACACAGACGCGCATTTTACACAGACGCGCATTTTACACAGACACACATTTTACACAGATGCACCTTTTACACAGACACACATTTTACACAGACACACATTTTACACAGACACACATTTTACACAGACACACATTTTACACAGATGCACCTTTTACACAGACACACATTTTACACAGACACACATTTTACACAGATGCACCTTTTACACAGACACACATTTTACACAGACACACCTTTTACACAGACACACATTTTACACAGACACACATTTTACACAGACACACATTTTACACAGACACACCTTTTACACAGACACACATTTTACACAGACACACCTTTTACACAGACGCACCTTTTACACAGACACACATTTTACACAGACACACATTTTACACAGACACACCTTTTACACAGACACACATTTTACACAGACACACATTTTACACAGATGCAGCTTTTACACAGACACACATTTTACACAGACACACCTTTTACACAGACACACATTTTACACAGATGCAGCTTTTACACAGACACACATTTTACACAGACACACATTTTACACAGACACATCTTTTACACAGACACACATTTTACACAGACACACATTTTACACAGATGCAGCTTTTACACAGACACACATTTTACACAGACACACCTTTTACACAGACACACATTTTACACAGATGCAGCTTTTACACAGACACACATTTTACACAGACACACCTTTTACACAGACACACATTTTACACAGATGCAGCTTTTACACAGACACACATTTTACACAGATGCACCTTTTACACAGACACACCTTTTACACAGACACACATTTTACACAGACACACATTATACACAGACACACATTTTACACAGATGCACCTTTTACACAGACACACATTTTACACAGACGCACATTTTACACAGATGCACCTTTTACACAGACACATTTTACACAGACACACATTTTACACAGACACACATTTTACACAGACACACATTTTACACAGACACACATTTTACACAGACACACATTTTACACAGACACACATTTTACACAGATGCACCTTTTACACAGACACACATTTTACACAGACACACATTTTACACAGACACACATTTTACACAGATGCACCTTTTACACAGACGTACCTTTGCCACATGTGTAGAGGTCACCGCGCCGCGCGTGTGGAGGAAGCGTCATGAAGTGACGCCGCTTATTAATCTTTAAATAAATATTAAACCAAGTGTTAAACCTTTGTGTCGGTTTCCGTAGGGCTTTGTCTGTTACGGAATAGCTACTGATGATTATTATTCATATTTTCCTATTTATAAACTTCAATCAGGCACCATGGTGCAGACAAGTGCAGTCTCCAGGCCTGATGATCAACTCTCTCTCTCCTGTCATCTCTAATTACGCGCTATGAAGGCCTATTAAATATGTTTCTTTTAAGGCCGCAGTGTTGTTGACGAACGTGTTTAAGTACGTATTGTATGTTGAACTTCCATCGCACCCTACGTAGCCAGCCGTGTTAATCGAAGGTGTGAAGGAACTGTTGAGTGATTATTTCCCCCCCCCACCCAAATCTCATTAGATCTCGGAAGCTAAGCAAGCTGGGGCCTGGCTGGATGGTCGCACTGGGGGATGAGTGACCACCGACTAGGAACGAAACAGATCCGCAGACGACATTCCATCTGCTGACACGGCCTATCTGCGAGATGTTATCTCCCTCGCCTGGTATACAGGAGGTCGTGGGGTTCGATGCCGACCCTGACGCCTGCTGCTGTACATGTGGAGTTTGCGTGTCTCTCTCTCTCGTCATCATCATCACGGTGGCTAGGAGATGTTAACTACCTCGCCTGGTCTGCAGGAGGTCGTGGGTTCGATCCCGACCCTGACGATGCCTGCTGCTGTATATTTGGAGTTTGTGCGTCTCTCTCATCATCATCATCATCACGGTGGCCAGATGTTAACTACCTCGCTTGGTATGTAGGAGTTCTGGTGGCGGGTTTAACGACACATTTATAATCACGCGATCTGACCCCCCCGCCCCGCCCCCCCCTAAAAAAAAATCTATTCTGTATATCATGGCGTTCGTAGTTCAGTTGAATATCAGCTACATTGACTGAAGATAGCTACACAGTTCTAGATTTGAAGCATTCGTGACTTCAAGGATCCATACTCTTTGGTTCTATTCGGTAAAGTCACGTAGGTAAAAATAAAATAACAAAAATCACGACGTTTCGGCCACAACACAAGTGGCCTTTATCAGGCGAAGGGACCGGACTGTCCAGAGGACAGCGTTGGAGTGAAGACAGCAAGTCCCAGGTCGCGTCCTTTAAGCGACAAGCTTAAAGGACGCGACCTGTCTTCACTCCAACACTGTCCTCTGGACAGTCCAGTACCTTCACCTGATGAAGTCCACTTGTGTTGTGGCCGAAACGTCGTGATTTTTTGCTATTTTATTTTTACCTACGTGACTTTACCGAATAGAACCAAAGAGTATAACGACACAGCTCTGGGCCCGTTTCGACACACGCGGTCTCATCAGCAAGTCAGTCGTGCTTGAACCAACGCCGGTGAGCTGCCCAAGTCCGTGCACGGCTGAGTCGCTCGCTCCACGTGGCTACGCTGTGGGGTGCTGCAAGCCGATTGGACCGCGGTGACCAGCCGCGGTGAAGTATGGCGGAATAAGGGGCCGTCCATAAATAACGTCACGCGATTTTGGACGATTTTAGACCCACACCCTCCTCTTCGTCACACGACGTCACAAAAAGTCAGACACCCCCCCCCCATCCTCCTCCTCGTCCTCAAATATGACGTCACAAAGCTCTGCCCCGTACGTAATGTGGCGCTGCACTCTGATTTTGTAGGAGATACACATTTATTTAAAAGTCTATTGAATTAAGTAGAACGTGTTGTCGATGCTGTATTTATTTAAAATTGCGCATTTTGATGTGACGTCACATTTCTCACCCCCCCACCCACCCTCCCCTCGTCACACATCGTCACAAATATCTGACCCCACCCCCCACCCCCCCCAGGTGCGTGACGTCATTTATGTACGGCCCCAAACGGTGCCGTTGACGACTTCGGCGGCTTTAAACGTGTGCTGTACATCATACACACGGAGATACAGGCACGAGACAAAGATCCCCCGTATAGCCTCCCCGGACTGTTTGGGGCAAGTGCTGTTAGCAAAGCAGCACCCAACGAAGGCCGACACGGCACACGAGGCGGATGTGGTGGGCCAGCGCCGCGCCCCCGACCGCCTTTGTCTCCCCCAGTCGACCTAGGTTGAGGCCCAGGACCGGTTCAGACACTTGCGGCGCACAGACAGGAAGAGGACGTGAGACCAAACGGAGCAACGCGCTAACGCGCGCACGAATCCCCGTTGAACACATTCGGCGAATACACAGCACGCGTGTTACCTTCCGTGGTTGTGGTGGGTGGTGGTGGGTGGTGTCTCGGCGGTGATGTTGGCGATGATGATGATGATGATACGGCGACGACGATGATGATGGTGGGAGAGCGAGAGAAGAGGTTTTGTGATGTCGCGAAACCGTCAACAGACCATTTCCTGGTGCTCGAAAGCGTCACCGCAGCGCCCCCTCGTGTCTCGCAGCGCTGTTGCTGCACGCGACTCATTTAAGGCTGAGTCGACCTAGGGGTAGAAGGCCGTCTCTCGGCTCGTGCCCTTTTGGAGGTTAGGGGCCGTCCATAAATGACGTCACGCACCTGGGGGGGGGGGTTAGACATTTGTGACGATGGGGGGGGGGGTGAGAAATGTGACGTCACATCAAAATAGAGACAGCACGTTCAACTTAATTAAATATACTTTTTAATAAATGTTTTCTCCTACAACATCAGAGTGCAGCGCCACATTAAATACGCACTACAATGACAATAGTTAAAAGCGATTTGAAGCATGTTTGATTTTCAAAATGGAAATATGGTTTTGGGGGGGGGGGGCAGAGCTTTGTGACGTCATATTTGAGGGGGGTCTGACTTTTTGTGACGCCGTGTGACGAGGGGGGGGGGCAAAAATCGTCCAAAATCGCGTGACGTCATTTATGGACGGCCCTGAAGCTATTCCCTGGGAAGTCTAGCTCCCCACCAGGCCTACTCTTCCCCTTGGTCACTGGACTCTGAGTGTCGGATTAAGTTAGTGCGGAGTCTGTGGCATGTTGTAAAGGGGCCTTAAATAAATAACACCTAGTCGTTCGTAAAAGTTGAAGGCCGTGGAGTACTATAGTCATAGAGCAAGTGCAGAATCACTGAACCGGAATTTATAGCTTGAAAGCATTTAGCGCGGGGCCCTTGAAAGTGCGGGGCCCGTAGCTACATATGTAGCAGCTACTACATCCGTAGTAGCTGCTACAGCTACTACATCCGTAGTAGCTGTAGTAGCTGCTACTACATACATAGCTACTACTACCTAGTAGCTGCTGTTGTGCTGCTAGGATAATCCGGCACTGGTGCCACTGCAATATCTGACTCGGGTCAGCCTCCTGCTCCAGCCCCTTACACACGCGCCGTCACGTGTCCCACCCGTGACGTGTCCCACCCGTGACGCGCGTGTCCCACCCGTCACAACCTCCTTGAGCACCCTACCTGCTGCCGGTTGTATAAACACCGCAGCGCGTGTGCCGCGCTGCCCTTCGTGGGTGCTGCTCGCTAACAGCACTTGCCCCAAACAGAAGATCCTGTGAACGAGCACCTTTGAAGGCCGGCACGGCACACAGAGGAGGTGGGTGGCCAGCGCCACGCCCTGCCGCTTTTGTCTCTCCAGTTGCAATGTTCACACGCCGCTCCA